CCCCCAGGAAAACAACCCTCGCCTCCACCATCTCCACCCGCCTAAACGCCCTCCACACCACCCACTCACCTGCGACCTCCAACTCCTCCCCACTCTCAACCTTCATCCCCATGGACGGCTTCCACCTAACCCGCACCCAACTCTCGGCGCTCCCGGACCCCAGCACAGCATTCGCCCGTCGCGGCGCCCCCTTCACCTTTAACGGCCCCTCTTTCCTCTCTCTCGTACAATCTCTCCGTTCCCCCATCCTCCCAGAGACATCAACCCTGTACGCCCCCTCCTTCTCCCACGCGATCAAAGACCCCGTTGAAAATGACATCGCCATCCTGCCGTCCGTGCGCATCGTGGTGTTCGAAGGAAACTACTGCGCGTTGAATAAAGCGCCGTGGTCCGAGGCTGCGGCGCTTATGGACGAGATGTGGTTCGTCGAGGTGGACTTTGAGGTCGCGAGATGCAGGTTGGTACAGAGGCATGTGAAAGCAGGTATTGCGAGGGATGAAGAGGAGGCGGGAAAGAGAGCCGATGAAAATGATTTGGTTAATGGGAGGGAGATTGTGGAGAATAGGGTGCCGGTTTGTGAGGTTGTGAGGAGTGTCGAGGATGGGGCGTGGGCGCCGGAGAGGCAGGGGGTTAGGGATGAGAGGGAAGAGAGATACAAGGAGAGGTATATGGACTGACTGTAGGTAGTAGGTAGAGGGTAGGTAAAACTCGTGGAATGCCTGTATCAAATAAGTCCCTCCCTCAATTATGGTCCACTCGATGTCCGCCCTTGCCGAGAGCCACCAGAAAGTCGAAGCAAATCAGCATACCAATGTAGCTTCCTGAACAAAACACACTCTAAACGTACACAGACAACATTTGACGTTTCAAAATCATATTGCTATGATAAATTCTACTCAAGGCCGTAAACATGGAGCCTGGGAGACACCAAGGTTCGGCTTCCCAACCCAAAACCACTCGTCAAAGGTACTAGATAGGAAGTGAATACTGTACTTGTGCAGACAGATCCATGCCCAAGGAAATATTGGCCATTAGGCGCTGTGGTCCCGAAACAAAGAGTTGGGCCGTCATCAAGGCTTATCCTGAACGCCGCATCCGACTCCGCAAAAGACGATTGAGGTTAGGCCGTTCGAAGGTGCGTTATAGTTACATTTTGGGCACCGTCATCCAAGGTTGCGCCAATGAGTGCAAAGGAAATGGAGGCGCGTAAGGGGCTCAGCAACACGGGTATGTCAGCTATGCCTTGACCGCACCCCCTTCTGTCGCTTGGGGCTCCTCGGTGTTCTCGAAATCTGAAGCCGATGTCTCACGGTTCAGGCTGGTCTCGCGGTGTAAGAAAGTGTGTTCCTTGACCGGGCTGCCGGCAACCTCGCCTTGACCGTTGGTGGTTCCGTTGACATGGCCGTTGCCGTTGCCGTTTTGTCCGGTAGGTGTGGGTGGCGCAATGTGTGGAATCTTCTCGGGGTTGGGGTGCTCACGGCCAACTTGGGTGACGCCGACGTCGCCAGCCTTTCCAGCCTTGGAGAGGGCATAGTCGCCGCTGTCGAAGTACTTGCGCTCCTGCAGGCATGTGTCAGCCGGATTCTATGAGAATGTGATTCTGAGCGTGTCGTACCTTGAGCTTGTTCTGAAGCAAGTCCTTCTTGTTGGGGAGCTTGCCGTAAAGACGGAAGAGTTTGGCCTCTTGCTCCGACATTTTCTATTCCATTCTGTCAGCTATCGTCGTTCCCAGGGGGATTCGCCATATCCCGAGCCCTATTTTCAGGGTCCGAGAAAGTTGCGCAGGGGTTGGCATGACGTACACTGATGTCCACCTTGTTCTGCTGGTGGGGGTTCATGATGGCGGTTGATTGATGAATCGAGGTTATCGTGTCGCGGGTGCTGTTATATAAAGTAGCTACTGCTCGCCAGAGGTGCAGAGGGCCTTATTTATTCCTTGTCGGGTCGTCGCCACGAAGAAGCTCGGGTAGGCGTTGGGCGAATACTGTGAACGGCTGCGTGACAGGGACAGGGAGGGCGAATTGGTGTGATGGCTCCCGCTCCTACCACTGACGATTGGGTGCCGACGAAGCTCGGGCGTGTCTCGCTGCTGCGGCCTGACAACACACAAACGTCGACGTGCAAGAAATCCTTTGGTGCGTGTTTCTGTTGGTACTGAAACGACGATGGGCTGGTCGAGGTGGGAGAAGTGCCCCTCTATTCAGTCGATTATGCGATAAGCCTTGATCGCCCGAGGTTCCAACTGACCGGGACGCTGCACGAGGGCAACAAAGCAACAAAGCAAAAAGTAACAACGGCAAGGGGCAATTGAGACGGCGTGCACTCAAAACGAGGCAGACTGGAATTGCAGAGTGAGAGTGAGGGTCAAGATGCGTGGTGCAGTGGATAATGGAATCGTCGTTGTTGCGTCCAAGTAGGGTCAACCAAGGAGGGGTAGATGCACAGATATGTAGTAGGCCATGGGTGGACCAACGGTAGCAACGACCAAGCCGTGGCTTGTGTGACGGGCTAATTGACGCAGTCGACACAGGGAATCAAGGGAGAAGCCGCTGCCGCGAAAAGATTCATGGTTAGTCCTTGTGCGTGCTGGACAATGGATTGCCGTAGCCTTTACCAGACTGAGCAACTTCTCAGCGTCACGCGTACACATCATTGGACTCTGCACATATTGTCTCGGCTTGATCGCCAGGGCCCGTCTTGGACGGCCGTGAATCGTCCAGTGATTTGAGCCCTTGGCTGCTGTGTACAAGACCGGCACGGAGCAAGCTTACATGGAGTTCTGGAAAGTATATTGCCGTGCAACTTTTATCACGCATGACGAAAGCATCTTCCCCGCTTACCGTTAGCTGTGGCTTACTCGGGCCTGATAGGCCGTCTCCATCCGCTAGTGTTAGTCTTCAGCAAACCCTGACCGTCTGCCTCCCACGACCACATGCTCTATTTAGCGAGATACTACTGCAGCGCTCCAAGAGTCTCACCATCGATCCAGACACCAGGAGACCACTGCGGAATTTAGAGCACACGCCGCGATCGCCGCCTGCTATCCCATTCGCCCATCTGTTGCCGTACATCCTGACATCCGAAAATACGCAAGCCGGAAACTTCACCCCCCCTCCAATCAGCTTCAACATGGCCGACACCGGCAAAACTTTTGTTGTAGAGCACCTGGACCCGGAGTTGGAGGAGTGGTCATCATTGGAGTACTCAGCCATCGCAGCTGAATCCCATGCATCTGGCGCCCAGTTTCTGCTGTCTTCGGTGCCAGCCTCTCTGAAGTTGCCCGCAAACCTTCAGGGAGCAAAAGGCCTCAATGTTGAAACGCGAGGAATCGAGGAGATATATGCCGACAAAAAGGACAAAGTATGTTTGCTTGATCCCGCCGCATCCAAGGACCTAAGTCCCGAAGACGGCGAGACATTCGACATCTTCCTGTTCGGTGGCATCCTTGGTGAGTCCACTGTGCTTTGTTTTTCCCCAACATGATTCAACGTAAGCTGAGCTGACCTGACCAGGGGATGACCCGCCGAGAGGTATGTGATGATGCAAGCACCGTACGGTGTGCTCTGTGTCGGCTAATGATTCTCGGTAGACCGGACCTCAGAGCTGCGCAAAAAGGGATACCAAGGACGTCGTCTGGGTCCGGTACAGATGACAACCGACACAGCAGTTCGCGTAACTAGGATCTGCGTTCAGGACAAGGGTAAGTCCGACGTGGGAATATTCTTTGGGTAGAATGCTGACAGCGTGCAGTGCCCGTGGAGAAGATCCAATACATTGACCATCCAGACCTGAAGATCAACAAGAACGAAAGCACGCAGATGCCGTTCCGTTATGTCAAGGGCGATGATGGAGAGCCGATTATGCCGAAGGTACGTGGCATAGGGCTCCAAAGTGAAATGGTGTTGACCAGATGCATAGGGCATGCGTGAGCTGATCGTTAAGGACTCAGCCAAGAGTCTCGATGATCTCTTCTAGAGACAAAGAGCCAATGGGTGTGGGTATGCCTGGGCTCTCAGGCATCTTCCAGTACCAGGCAGGTGGAAAACGAACATGCGCCACTGTGGCACGCAGTATTCGACGGCAATGCATGTGTGCCTCTTGTGGGGATTTGTAGCAGCATGACGATTCATGGAGGGCTCCGTGTTGTAGTACTAGACGCGACTTGAGATGTTAGTCGGATCTCGAGTAGACGGGCCGAACCGGACGCAGTCTTGCTTCCAGAAACTCGGTTCACGCATGGGTAGCGTAACGATATAGCAACATTGATATGGCAAAAGCGGCAGCGGATGCAGTCTGGCGCGTGTGATTGCCATGTGGGCAGGCCGTTATGAAGGACATAAGTATGCAGCCACGGCTCGCAGCCGACAACGCGTGTTCAGGCTCGTCAAGGTGCGCCTCACACCCACTTGAGGCCTGAGGACGTCGATGATACATGGGTGAAGCATGCTTGAAGGTCTAACGTGTCAGATGCTGTTCTCGATACGCGCCTCCGAGACGCGGAGGGGAAGCGAGCCGGCGAATGCTGGGAGCAGTCGCATGTGATTGGTTCGACGCATAATGCGAACAAAGCTCGGACGGGGTTCAAAGAGATGCTCAGTGGGCTCGCAAAGTCATGTCCAACCCAGACAAGTCTTTTCTTGTTCTGCGTGTCTGTCATTGAAGGCTGGCCACTCACTGTAACTGACATTTGTTTCGCGGGACGCTGGTGTGCCTCACGACAACCCCCCTGCTTCCGGACTTTGGACCCCAAGTGCGACTTGTCAGCAGCCGCAGGAGCCACATATCCCGACTGCACCTGAGAGTCTGGACGCTCACAACCATCGCGCCAGTACCTTTCACTACCAACCGTTTCCCCTTTTTGACCACACCTGCATAAGGTGAAATTTCCTACATACGCCCAGCAACCCATGAAATAGCGACAGCGCACCGCACAATCCGCGGCGTCCGACACCGATACGCGGCCTCAATATGGCCTTCTCACACGCTCCGTCAGGATGGCGGACCGCGCTGTTAGCCGGCTTGATAGCGACAGTAGCATGGCTTCCAGCAATAGTGGCGCAAGAGAAGACGCAAGCCGACTACTTCATCCACGACCTGCCAGGCGCGCCAAAGCCGCTCCTCAAGATGCATGCAGGGTGAGCAGCACGTGGCAAAGGGCATCTATAGCAGCGCTGACGTTTTCTTTTTCAAACAGGCATATTGAAGTTGACGCAGAACACAATGGCAACCTCTTCTTCTGGCACTACCAGAACCGCCACATCGCAGACCGCCAGCGAACGGTGCTATGGCTGAATGGCGGGCCTGGCTGCTCCTCCATGGATGGCGCCATGATGGAGATTGGTCCGTATAGAGTGCGCGAGGGCGGCAAGCTGGAATACAACAATGGTTCGTGGGACGAGTTTGCCAACTTGCTCTTCGTCGACCAGCCAGTGGGAACGGGCTTTAGCTATGTCAACACCGACAGCTACCTCACCGAGCTTGACCAGATGGCCGCCCACATGGTGATTTTTTTGGAGAAATGGTTTGCGCTTTTCCCCGAATATGAAAACGATGATGTAAGTAGCATCAGCTGAGCGAAGATGCGGAAAACTGATTTGCCATAGCTATACATTGCTGGTGAATCCTACGCGGGACAGCATATCCCATACATTGCGCGCGCTATCCTCGACCGTAACAAGAAAAATCAAGCCAAATCGCCATGGCCCCTGAAGGGCCTTCTGATCGGGAACGGCTGGATGTCACCCGTTGACCAGTACCTCTCCTACATACCTTTTGCTTACCAGAATGGCCTCATGCGCTCTGGTACAGACATGGCAAAGCGCGTCGAGGAGCAACAGAGAATCTGCGTACAGAAGCTCGAGGCTGGCGGCATGGACGCTGTCGACACGAGAGACTGTGAGCAGATTATGGTCCGAATTCTCCAAGAGACCAAAAACGAAAACGCCGATCCCATGAACCAGTGTCTCAACATGTACGACATCCGTCTGCGCGACGACTCTTCCTGTGGAATGAACTGGCCTCCGGATCTTGCCCAGGTCACCCCCTACCTCCGCCGCGCCGATGTCGTCCAAGCACTCCACATCAACACGGACAAAAAGACTGGCTGGCAAGAATGCAATGGTGCTGTCTCTAGCCATTTCCGTGCCAAGAACAGTAAGCCTTCCGTCAAGTTCCTACCCGAGGTCATTGAGCAAGTTCCTGTCCTGCTCTTTTCTGGCGACAAAGACTTCATTTGCAATCACGTCGGCACGGAGGCTATGATTCAGAATCTCCAGTGGAATGGCGGCAAGGGATTTGAAGCGTCTCCTGGAGTACAGAATGCTAAGCAGGATTGGATGTTCGAGGGAGAAGCTGCCGGAACATGGCAGGAGGCGCGCAACCTCACATATGTCGTCTTCTACAACTCCAGCCACATGGTCCCCTTCGACTACCCCAGGCGCACCCGCGACATGCTCGACCGCTTCATGGGCGTCAACATCGAAGCGATTGGCGGTGCTCCTGCCGACAGTCTGATTGATGGCGAGAAGGGTCCACTAACAAGTGTTGGAGACCATCCCAACTCTACCAAGGCTGAGGAAGACAAGAGCAAGGAGCTCAAGGCGGCCGAGTGGAAGGCCTATACCCGCTCCGGCGAAGTTGCGCTGGTCATTGCTGTCATCGTTGCCTGCATATGTGGATTCCTTCTGTGTCGCAGTCGACGTGCGAAGAGTGCATACAAGGGTGATGATAGTGACGAAGGTCGCGAGTCTCTCCTCACTGGCATGGGACTTGACAACTTCCGGAGAAAAGAGCGAAGGCAAGACGTTGAGGCTGCAGATTTCGATGAGAGGGAGCTTGATGAGGTGCCAAAGAAGTCCGGGAAGGGCTACGGGCAAATAAGTTCGGAGAAGGGGCGGGTGCCGCACAACGACTCTTCGTTCTCACTCGGCGTTGATAGTGACGACGACGAGGCGGGTTCAAGCGACCGCGGCAGGAGAAAGGAGGAGTCAAGATAGTTTACAGCATTCATATCTACGGCGTATTACTACATCTACAAATAGAAGACTAGACCGAACAGCATTGCAGGCGTTTTTTGGTTCCGAAATAGATTATCCGATTTTCAACGTGAGAACAAAACGAAGCTTTCAACCAGGGCGTTGTCGAATTGAGTTAGTGCTGCTAGTGCTGTAATCGATGGCTGTTGGTCGATGGGGCAGGTGCTGCCTGGTGTTCACGTGAATGCGGGACTAGTGTCAGCGCGTTCCTCCCGTCCAGGTCGCGTCATTCTCAGCCACTAGGCCTCAACCTCATCAAAGAGGCGATCCCATGCCCACTACACCTTGACAGCACGACAATGCCTGCGTACGTACAATTAGCTACAGAGTTACCCCGCATATCGCGCAGTTTGTAAGGGCCGTTTTGACTAACAATTATGCAGGCCAGGCGACCAATACAACGGCGGCAACGTCAAGAACCCATTCGAAGAACGCGTCGTGAACGGCTTCACCGCGACGGAAATCGCGACATTACAGAGTAGATTGAACAAGCAACTCGGGCCGGAATATATTTCGCAAAGACCCGGAAATGGTGGTGGTAAAGTGGCGTACTTGGAGGGGAACAAGGCGATAGCACTTGCGAATGAGGTCTTCGGATTCAACGGATGGTCGAGCTCGCTTGGACAAGTGCAGATTGATTATGTATGTACCTGAACGTTTTTTGAGGAGGGCCAAGTCTAATTAGACCAGGTTGATGAGCTTCAGAATGGCAAGGTCAACTTGGGTCTCTCAATAGTAGTGAGGATCACACTCAAAGACGGCACCTATCACGAGGTAAATTTGACAGCTGCACGCTTCTCCTGAATATACTGACCTAAACCAAGGATATTGGCTATGGTTCAATTGAGAACGGCAAGGGTAAAGCAGCGTCGTTTGAGAAGGCAAAGAAAGAGGCGGCAACAGATGGACTGAAACGCTCATTGCGCACTTTTGGCAATGTCCTCGGCAACTGCTTATACGACAAGGAGTATCTCAAGAAAGTCCAGGCTATGAAGGTCAAGCCTATCAAATTTCAAGAGGACAACCTACACCGCCACGTCGACTTTGCACCGCCACCCAAGCCTGAGCAACAAGCGATGGTCAAGCCTGAGCCACAGAGAACACCTGTTCGTCCGAACCAAGTCCTCCGAACACGTACAGAGCAGCTCAACAACGAGTCGTTTGGTGCTGACTTTGACGACGATGCCGATGAGAACTTGTTCGATGGAGTAGATGTTACCGAGGGTCATGGGGACGAGTTCTCGCTATCGGATACTGTATCTGCTCCTGATACCACAGGACCACGAGCTATTGAAGTAGCCAAATCGAACGGCGTATCTTCTGCTCGTACATCGCCCACCCGAAATACGGTACCTCCTAGACAGCCCAACGTTAGACCTGTGCAAGCGGGTCGCGGCCAGCCTCCAGCGCAAAAGCAGCAACCAAATCAAGGCCCTGGAAGGCCTCCACCTCCCATGCAAAACGAAAAACAGCCACAGACACCAGTTCAGCAGCAACCGCGCCCTGTACAGAATGGTGGACGTATGCCTCCACCAGTCATGGAGAGCGGGGGTGCTGCAAAACCTACAGGACAACAGCCACAAAACCAGCAGCATGCTACTAACAACCCAGCTCTCCGGCCAACACCTCCTCAAGCACAACAACAACCCAACCAACAGCTCCCAGGACCGCAAGCCCAGAGCACAACAACACCAGCCACAAATGCACCACCTCCCAACCGACCCCCCGTAGGCTTTGTAACCTCCCGCGCTGCCGAACTCCTCCAATCCGCCGACGCAAACTCATTCAGCAGGCTCCCCTCATTCAACCCGAACGCCGAATCCCCCATACCAAAAGAACAACGCACCCCCGGCGTCGACCACGCCAGCAGCAGACCCATCAAACGCGACGCCGTCAACGCCCCTCCTCCACCCCAACCTCCGCCCCAACGTCCCGGTGTATCAACAACGGGCTCTTTCAACCGCCCAAACATAGTGAACCCGCACCTCGACGCCAACCGCCGCATCGGCGCCCCCAGTTATGCCATGAGTCCTAGTGCGAATCGTGGAGCGTACAAACCGCCTACGTTTGCCAATGCCAATGCCAATGCCAATGCCAATGCCAATGCCAATGCCAACGCAAACACAAACGCGACAAATGGTGCGGGTGTCAAACGAGAGAGGGCAGCGTTGCAGGACGTCAGCAATGTGAATTTTGGGGCGAATGCGGCGGCTGAAGGCCCAGACCCGAAGAAACCGAGGGTTGAGGCGAATGCGCCTAATGGGACTGAGAATGCGGCTGTCGTTAATCCATGAGGGAGTATATGCGTTTAGTGTGGTTTATGTGTGATGAGTATGGCGTCATTTTATCTATTATAGTCTTCTCTGGTTGGGGGTTTGGGCATTGGAATGAGCTGGAACGGTGTTTAGGGCGTTGGACAAAGATAGTGCGTATTCTTTCTGGGAGAAGGTAATGAGCGAGATCAGTCAACAATTAGCATTTCTACCAGGGAAAAAATGACATAATATAAACATTTCAAACATCCATCTCAATATTGCAATTCTGCACTCTTTGTAAGTTGCCGAATTATTGTTTTCGCCCCCCAAAAGACGCCCATTTCATTTCTCCTTTCCAATTTCTTTCCACTGGAAAAGAAAACAGCTAAAAAGCGCTAAGATAATGCACATACACACATAGATATAGGAATCCAGAAACCCCCAGTTTGCAAAAGAAGAAAAAAGGAACAAGATAAGATGACATTGCCCACAACATCCACACACACACACATGCATGACCCGATCAATATCTCACCCCCACACAGAGAGAGTCCCACACTACTTCTTCCTACTATTAGGCCTAGGTTTGCATTCATCGCCCAGAATAGGATGAAGTTTAATCTTAGTGGGATACTGAGGCGTGTTACCACTGTATCCCTTACTCCAATCGTAGCTGATAGCATAGGCAAAGATATTTCCGTCTTTGGAGAAGGCAGTAGCGACGATGCTGCCGCCGACTTCAGGGTAGCCTTTGAGACGGTGCTTTGCGTCCTTGTCCCAGAAGTGGAAGGTGCCGTCTGAGCCGGCGGTGCTAAAAGTGCCGTGCTGGGGGTGGAAAGAGATTGCGTTTACGGAGAAGACTTTTGCGATGTCGCGGTTGCTTGTATCGGTTTGGCGGTGGCATTTGAAGGAGAAGTTTAGACTAGGGTTGGGATGTTAGTTGAGGGGGTGGGAATAGGGAGGAATGGGGGAGGGGGACTGACCTGGTGTCTTTTTCTTCGACGTATTGGATTGCGCATCGGCCTTCGATGGAGCCGACGGCGAAACCGGTTGCGTCGCTGAAGCAGCTGACGACTCTTGTTTGCCACTTGAGCGGGCTGGTGATGGTTTTGTAGATGGCGGTTGGGTTTGTGAGGTTGACCATGTGGATGTGGCGCTCTGCTGTCGCAATCACTAGCAGCTGGTCCTTGATGTCCATGCTGTACACGCGCTCCTGGCATTGCAGCGTACCGACTGGCTCGGCGCCTTGCAGATCCCAGAACTTGACAGTCTTGTCCCATGAGCCGGTCGCAACGTAGTCTTTACCACCAGTTTGGAACCAGCGCACGCACTTGATGCCATTCTCGTGCGCCTTGGCTTGCTGGGCTGGGACAGTGCCGCTGGCGGGGGCGGTGCGGAAGTCAACAATATTGAGCATACCGGTTGCGTCACCTGCTGCTATACGTGTGCCATCCTGCACAATGTTAGCCACTTGATCGTGATTCCATTGATTTGATAAACATACCTTTGACCATCCCAGACCAAGAACAGGACCCTGGCATTCGAACATCCATTTTCCGTTTGCGCCATTCTGGTTGACCTCGTAGATGTAGACCTTCTTGTCCCAGCTTCCTACGGCGAGGAAGTCGTTTGTCGGGGAAAACTGCAGATCGGACACGCTGTCGCTGGGTACTTGGCCTTGTGGGACCTCGACGTCTTTACTTGTGTCGCCTGTGGTAGAGCTAGCAGCAGGCGCTGCGGCTTGACCAAAGAGAGTCATCTTTTCTTTCTATGTCGCTTTTGTATGCGCGTCGAGCAGGTACGTGTTGATCGTGGTAGAGCTTTGCGCAAGTCGCTGCTTGGAAGGTGTTGGTGGTTGCAGGTAGCCGGTCAGGGAAGGAATTCCTTCGCACGGGTCGGAGAATACCGGGAGAGAAGACGCAAGGTCTAATCGCGTGGGGAGAAAATACGATGGTTGTCTGGCAGCTTCTTATATTGTACACCACCGACGCGCCTGGAAGAAAGAGCAGCACTGAAGCTTCCTAGGCAAGCACCCTTGCAGCTTGCCAGGCACCAGCCCATTTCTGCCTAGCGCGCCAAGACCGCGGCGTTACGATTGCCCGGCTCCAGCTCCCCATGTAAAAACTTTCTAGCAGCCTGTTCCACCTTTCTTCCTTCAACGTTCCTCGCTCAAAGAATCGCAACGAAGCACACGCACAGAGCGCCTCTCGGGGTGTCTCTTCCCACGCTTTGGGGAAAGTCCCCGGACAACGATCATCGCGATCGCACTTTCAGCAACGAACCGCCATAGAAGCCGCGGCTTCCAACCGATCACGACATTTCTCGCATCTCTTTATCCGTCTGCACTCTTTTCGACAGCTTTCACGAGGCTGCAGGGTGGGGATCTGGCACTTGGATGATGATATGAGTCCGCTGGTGACCCGGTCTGCGTGCTGAAGGTTCGCTGGAGATTGGAGGAGGAGGGAGTTGTTGGGAGGTGCCAGGTATGGAGGGTCTTCTCGTCCAGTTTATGGTTATGCGATTGCCTCCTTTGCGCTTCGGTCACACGGGGTGTCTAGGAGGTAACTCAATGGGGCTCATTCTTGAGGCGAGGAGCGTTCATTCACACACACATTTTTCGGGTCTGAGGGTAGGCGCTCTCTGGCAATGGTCAGAGTAACGGGCTATCGCGTGCTCGGTCGAACGAGCCAGATTTCCATCAGCTATTCAACGGTTCATATGATGAGACACATGGAAATAGAGTCAAGCTCTGAGGCTGTCCGAATCCCAAAGTGGTAGGACGGCCTTTGCTGAATTTTCTACGACGGTATCTGATGAACCTTGAGGCTTATATAGTTATTATAAGACAATGCAATATATGATCAGAAGCTATCTGTCTTTCCAACCTTGTCGTGAATGGTATCAACGATGTAGGGACTAGCTGCATCTTGTAGTGTTCTGCTGTCTCGTGAGTGCGTCTTCATGCCTCAGTCCCGACGATGAACTCCTTGACCTCCTCGTACGCCTTCTCTAAGTCATCGTTGATAACAATCTTGTCATGAGGCGCTTGTCCACTGTGCGCAAACTCCATCTCAACCTTTGCCTGGTTCAGTCTCTTTAGAATAGCCTCCTCCTTGTCTGTTGCTCGACTCCTCAGTCGCTTCTCCAAAATCTCCATGGATGGTGGCTGGAGGAACAGGAACCGCGGGCGAGGGAAGGTAGGGTGGTTCGCAACTTGCTTGACGCCCTAATCACGTCATTAGCTCCAGCTTGTCCTCAACGCATAACATGACACTACTAACCTCCATCTCAATATCCAAGATACAAATCTGACCTTTCTCCGCAATGTCGTTTACAGCCTTCACACTGGTTCCATAGTAGTTGCCTCCAAACTGCGCATGCTCTACAAAGCCTTTCTTCTCAATTAGGTCCTGGAATTCCTCCTTGGTCACAAAGTAGTACTCCTTGCCGTTTTGCTCGGTTCCTCGCGGGCCGCGTGTCGTGTGCGATATGCTGAAGCCGAATTTGCCGGGGTACTCTTCGAAGAGGCGCGAGAGAATTGTAGATTTACCTGCGCCTGAGGGGCCGGAGATTACAATGGGTTGGTGCGAGGCGAGGGCGTCTTTGGAGACGGTGACGGGATCGGTAGGGGCCATCTTGGAGGTGTGGTGGGTGAAAGTACGGGTGATGTTGAGTTTAGGTGTAGGTGCTTTGGTAGCGATATTGTAGCTGTGAAGCAGTTGAAGCCAGGGCTTAGATTCGACACGTGATAGACTCGTAGACAGCCTTGAGAGAGTCAATGGCATTCTCTCCGGACTTTGTTGCTGCAGGGCGCTGCGGGGTGTGATTGGCGGTGAAACTAGCTGCTAAGGGGGTGTTTGGTGGGGTACCAAGTGGGATGGCGGCCTGGCTGGTGACATCGCGTTTTCGTATTTGTACTGACCTCATCGAGCCACAAAAAGCTCCCCTGCACTTTCCATTCCCAATGGTGCAGTAGTTGCGCGTGAAACTAGAGCTTTTGAATCACAAAATGGTACGAAGATCGTTCCAACCTCGCTTCTGTTCTAACAACGTCCAGTCGAAACAATACCTTACTCTTCACACAGTCGACTCGGCGCATCCAAAAGCTAGCGATGTATTCGCCGTAGCGCCGACCACCACACAGCTGCTGTCAGCCTCTGGCGCAAGTAGCATCAACGTTTACGACACCACGCAACCCGAGTTTCCAATCATACAGACACTTGAAAAGGCGCATCCACTCGGTATACACCACCTTGTAACCGCACGGGAAGAGAAGGCGCGACGGGCCGCGAGTGCTGGCTTCGAGGGCAAGGTTAAGATATGGAGTCAAAATGAAGATGGTGTATGGAGCGAGGACGGAGAGATTGTTGGTGGGTACGCCTTGCGCTTTCTTTGCCATCGCACATGAAACTGTTGTATGCAAAGATGCTGATTTTGGGTGCAGACCAGAACAAGCCGGGTGAGATATGGGCCATTGCGCTCAGCGCAGATGGACAATACCTCGCGAGTACCAGTATCAACGGCAAAATCAATGTGTGGAGCTTGAACAAAGATGAGGGCATGCCTCGGATACGCGAGTACGAGACAAAGGGTAGTTTCGGCATGTGTGTGGACTTGGTAAGCTTTGCACTCTAGTGCTTGACCTCAACCATATATACACATATGCTAACATGTCTACTAGAGTCGCAACGGTAGCTTCACAGCCTCAGGGCACGAGAACGGATCGATATACGTCTTCAACAACGAGACCGGACGCCTCGCACATTCCTTGGCTGGCCTCGTACATCCAGTTCGCAGCGTAGCCTTCTCACCAGCTTCAAAACTGTTAGCAGCAGGAGGTGATGCAAGGATAATCGCACTCTACGACGTCACTTCGGGCGAGCAGGTGGCAAACTTCACCGGACATGGAGGTTGGGTGCTCAGCCTGGATTGGAGCGATACCGGCGAGTACCTACTTTCAGGGTAAGGCATCGAATATTTCATAGAGGAGCCTATTAACAGTCTCAGATCACACGATTCAAAAGCAAAAGTCTGGCGCATCGAAACGAGGACTTGTGTTGCAACACACTCTCACGGTGACAAGCCTCTTTGGAGCGCAAAATGGTTACCAAAGGTTCCAACTAAAAGCGAGATGTTCGCACTAGCAGGAGGAAATAACTCGATCAGTTTCTACAGGGAGGCCGCGGGTTAATATATGAACTACCTAGTATGCGGAGCGCTTCGCATCATAGACACTCCACGCTGTGCAAGGAACAATGAAGATGGAACGGCAGCAAGAGAGGCAAAATGGCAAGCGATTGGTGTAAGATGATGGCCAGAAGCTGCCACTTGGAAATGGTCAGGATTCATGAGCTGTGGGAACCTGAGTAGGTAATATCTGGCTTGTGCCATCCAATCAGATACAAGGTAGTATCGCATCTGTATCCACTTTGCAGATCACGAGCTTAAATTGACGACAGCTACCAGGGCTATTAACAATGGCTGATGCTCACTGCCTGCATAGATCATTCATGAATTATATCCTGGTTTTTTGTTCGTATCTGATCTTCCTCCTTCTTGTTCAAAGTCTGTTCCGCAATGCTTCCAGACTTCAATACCGCTATTTGTGAGTTCAGATTAAGTTGTTAGTAAGCATGCATGAGTTCTCTCTCTCTCTTTCGATTTTCTGAAAAGTATTGGAGTGAAATAATGTGTAGTATGGAACACGAATCATCAATCATGCAGGCTTTTTCAAAACATAGATCGCATTCTGTCCCCTTTCATAACTCATAAAACCCTCAATCCATCCCAAAACTTCTCAACATAAATCTAACTCTCGTCCGTAAAAGTTGCGGATCGAATCCATCTCTATTGTTTGCCTCTTCACTCAGCAAGCACCAGGGGAAAGGCAGCATTCACCATCGGTGACGCAGGCACGACCAACGTTGCAGCAACCGCATGGGCCGAATGCACAGCCCAGTTGGCAAATTATGCATGCCCTGTGTGTATCGCTCCAGTGAGGCCAGTGTATATGAATCTTCCGCGAGACGAGACCTGCGACATCGTTGTCGATGGATCCGGCAGCCTTTTCGATACCCGCTTCGCTGCTAATAATGGGGGTCTTGTCTTCTGTAAAAGTGATGTTGAATGCTTCCAAGACATCGGGTTGCCCCTCGACTTTCAAGAGCCTAAGCATGTTGAAGACTTCGCCAGATTGCTCCGAGTCGGAGGTTGTTGCGTTCGTGTCCGTGGAGGAGAGTTGCGAGGTTTCTCTGACGACCACAGGGGCTACAACGGCAGCGGAGACCGTGAGTATGAAGGGTGCGGTGGTGATGATGGTAGAGACTGTGGGTGCTTTTGTTAGTCGATAAATGCCAATGATGGAATTAAGGGAGAAGCTTACAACGCATAATGATGGTTTGCTTGATGGTAGCTGTCTGAAAGTCTGAAAGTCTTGTTGGCTGCTGGGGATCTGAGTCGATGATGATTCTGATGTCCCCCTTCCACCTCAACTTCCTCTCCTCTTTATACACATCCTCCCTCTTTCATGACCTCGACTTTTACCTCCACTACCGATGCACCCAACTCTTCGGATCTACACTATCAATCACAAGAACGCTACATTCATCTTCCTCAAACACCATTGGCCCCCGGCTTGATTCTAAGAGACACACTGCGTTGATTCGGACCTCCGTTATCATGCTGCTATCAGAGTGGTATGTCACAGAACAGGACCCTCTGTCAAGCGCGCTAGACACGCACACGTGGCTTGGAGTACACCACCTTCCTAAAGCCTTCTATTAGCTGCACCGGAAATGCCTCTCAAATGCTCCACGCGCTCGTCACCACTATATCTCGCTACACTTTTCCCCATTGAATTGCGCCGATGGTGGGGCTTTGTGATAACAGGTACCGGGACACGATACTCAATGTGGTTTCCCCAGATTTCGCTCCCCAGTAAATCACGCCGATTCCACACAACCTGCGGATAACAAATCTGATCCTGAAAACCCCGTCGCTCAAACGCTTAGCCACTATCACTAAAACTAACCTAACCTCGTTCCTACCCCTAAAAGGTCCGTTCCGCAATCACATCCTTACCCATAATACCACCATTCATACATCCATCCATTCATCCAACACACCTGACCCCGCCACATCAGCACATGCATTCCCAGCACAACCCCTCTGCGACGTGCACTTCCGGCAGTTCAGAATTATGCATAAAATATAACCCGCCACTACACTGCTTACGTGAGAATGTCGCGCGTTGGCACACAAGATACGAGGTCGTATCCCCACTGATATTGGGCTAAGCTTTTCTTGGAGTAACTAAGCTTTTGCTCGTGTGATCGGTATAAGAGATCCCCCAGTCTAAAATTCTCGTCTATTTTGTCCCAAAAAGTGTGACATAACAGTTCATGTAAGATGTTTATCTACTGCTGCTGCTGTGACTGTGACGATGTGCAGATACGAGAACTGGAAGTGTGGGGTACTGTAGCGTACTCCCCGATTTGGGTGATTAAGAAGACTTCGGCGTATGAGAAGGTTAGACGATGAAGTAGGAGCCCGAATAGGAAGTTTGGGAGATATGATGACGCTATTGAAGTTTGGTTGATGCTGCAGGGCTAGTGAGGGAGGGGCAGTACCGTTACTGTGGTGTAGCTGGAAATGATGCCGCTATTGAAGCTTGGTTGATGCAGCATGACTGTTTGGGTTTGTGTGGTGGTGATAGTGGGAAACTATAGGTAAAGGATGGGAATTGATATAGACGGGGATTATTTCAATACAATACATGAGTGGTGGAGGGCTTCAGTAAGAGTGGCTCACTGTGTCTGTAAATGAGAAGAATATGTCGATTTCGCGCTATCAATGATTGCGGTAGATGAATCTAGTTGCCCTGGACGCTTTTGATGACTCGTAATTGGTATGTATTGGCTTGTGTCTCATCGTAAGGAGGCGCAAAACTTGGACTGAGCCGAAATTGCGCCCCTATCCTAGCTGAACCATCATCGCAATGAGCATACGTCGCAGTGGAGTATTGTAATTAATCCTCGTGAATACTAGCAGATTGCTATGCTATACCCCCAAGATATGTCACTCTCATACCAGAATGCCGGGTTTCCGTTCTTTGCCAATGGCTATCTTTTGGTAATATCGTCTTGCAGCGAAAAGGAACATTTGGGAAAACGACTTGCCTTCTCTAGTAAATGACAAAATGAAAAGCTGTAAGCCCTAGGCTGAAATCGCGGTAGACAGGAAAGCAGGAGATAAGGAAATTGATGCTGACACTCAGACCACGGAAAAAGAGCTGACTTGTGTAGAAACTTTATTGCCCAGACTCCTCCTGGGAAGATCTACCGGACTCGATTGTACCTGATGCTTCGTCTCTTCGTCTTGCCTGCCTTTGTGCCTCCTCACTTCTCAGAATCTCCCTGAGCTCTTTGTAGTTGACGGGCTTGGTTAGGAAGTGATCAATCCCTGAGCTCCATGCTTCCAACTTCGCACTCGAAGATGCAAGTCCAGTAAGCGCAATGATGCAGCAGCGCGACGTGTTGTTTGCTCGTTCATGGTCGCGAATAGCGCGAGTAGCGCTCATGCCGTCCAAAACCGGCATGGACATGTCTATGCAGCAATTAGCGTCATGTATAATAATTCGAAGAAAAATCTCAAGTGAGCAGTAAGAAATAACGGAAGACATGTCTTACCCATTAAAATGGTATCAAAACTACATGATTCGTCCTTGTACATCTCCACGGCTTCGAGTCCGTTTGACGCTTCTTGATATGAGAGCTTGTTCTTCCTCATAAATGCGACCAGTAACTTTGACGGTCAGTATTGAAAGAATCTGGGCCAAATCAAACGTACCCTTCGATTTAACATGTTGTCATCAACGATGAGCGTGGAAGAAACAATAGAGTCATCCTCATGTTGCGAGACGGCTGATGACTGTGCAACGCTTGAGGCTGGTGTTACTTTGACAGTAGGCCCAGGGGAACTACTTTCAAAAAGACCGGTGGTGCCTTGGGTAGAGGTTGGTGACGAGCAAAGAGAACGCGGTAGTTGATCCTCGTGAATTACAAATTGCGGGAACGGGTTGGGCGAAATTGCGCGCTGCAGGTTTTCCTCGGGATGATCGTATCGGTCTAAACAACGATTGAGGACGAATGCTAATTTGTAGGGCCCACAACTACCAATTGTTAGCTGCTTTTCCTAGACATGAGTATCGATCGTACTTACGGCTGGGTTATGATTTCAACCACAGACTCTCGGCTCGTTACACGAACATCGGAACGCAGAGTAGCTGCTTCGAGTGCGTCCATACCAATGAATATTGTCACAGGAGCCCTTTGGCCTTGGCCCCTATGACGTCTGATAGTAGAGAGGTAGTCGAATGACAGTTCGGGGCAAATGACCAGATCTGCGTCGTGTCCTTCCCATTCTGTAGACTTCACCACCTCCATCTTGAGATGATGTTCGAGAGTGTCAACCAACGCATTCGTGAACCGTACAAGGCCTTCTTCCGTCCGCGGGATGGTTGTGTCTGGGGATGGAGTAGGTAGCTCCTTGCAAAGTACGCATATCCTACGGCCTTTTAATCGTGGCAAAAAGGATAAGAATTGCGCACGCTCAGTCGTCAGCGCATTAGAGGTTTCCTGTTTGTTGAGCGCAAATTTGACAGTCACCTTGCTGCCAACCGATGGGTCACTACTGACTTCAATCTTACCGCCACTCATGTCCAGGATTTGTCGAACAATACTTAGACCTAGGCCTGTGCCGGGTGAATGAGGGTTTTCCTGGGAGAAGGGTTGGAAAGCCCTATTAGCGAGGAATCCCGGACTCATTCCCAGGCCAGTGTCAGTAATTGTAAGCGTTATCAAAGTGGGTGCGTCAGAATTCTCGACTATGCTGCTGGAACGCAGAGTGATATGGATGACTACGTGATATGGATCGTTAGTGAGGTCTTTTCGAAACAGTTCTTTCAGAGATGTGATGTTATTATTGAGTAGGGCGTCAAGGTAAATGGTAATGGCATCATTAAATGGGTTGGCAGGATTTTCTGGCTTGCAAACTCCGAATTCGACATGGAAAAAGCAAATGTGTGTGATGAACTTGGAATAAATTAAGAGATTGTTGTACTTACAGCCTGTTTCCGTATATTTTACGGCATTACCGAAGAGGTTCATGACTATTCTCCTCCACGATCCGATAGGAAAAGAGAAGACCCAGTCATCCTCATGAGCCACATCGAGAATTATGAACCGGGCTTTGCGTTTCGGGAGCGAAAGGAACTCTTCCTCAGTTGGAGACAGAGGGTCATCCATGAGCTTGGATGCGACAGGGATGTATGACGACCCTGAAAAGATAGCCTCCACCACCTCTTCCGTCGCAATACCAAGGTCAAAGGAAGCATCTCTCCTCTTTCGGCTCTTCACAGGCTTCGAAGAAAGTCGGATTGTATTTGCGTTCTTCAGACGTTTTGACGAGATGCCCTTGTTACTCTCCGTAATTTTGGCGTAGTCCATCACGTGATTAATGGTATCAAGTAGAGTCGTTCCACAAGCATGCAAAGAGTTCAGCATGCTTACCTGAAACGAATCAAGGGCCGTGTCTTTGATGAATTCCAAGGTGCCTATAATTCCATGCAAAGGAGAACGCAACTCATGCGATATAGAAGCCACAAAAGTCGTTTTAGCCTACAAGAGTCGTTGAGTCAGCAATGCGGGGATGACGAGATACTGGGACGGGGATTAATCGGGTTCGTGTAAGACTTAGGAGGCGCTTCCACTCTCACAACTTACCTGATTAGAAGTCACAGCATCCAGTCTCGACAGTTCCCTCATTATTGAATTACTGAATATTTTGAAGTACGCCAGATCCACAGACGAGGACAACAGACGGTAGGCGTCATTACTCCAACACAAACATCCCGCAAACCATCTGGATCTCTCAAAATCCCAGAACGGGATAAATGCGACGCTCCGCGCCTTGGGAAACATGGCTTGAATCGCGACCGAGCCACTTCTTGGTCTCTCTTTTGTCTTGCGCTTCGAATGTGTCGGCGGTTCCAAATGCTCAGTAACGCTAGGGCTCGATGAGCCTTCCTCTGTCGATGACAGAGATAAGCCCTCGGAAGTATATGTGAATACCTTGCCGTGTGGATATTCACGAAAAAGTCGCGCTAGGTCAGACTCCAGCATCATGCCATAGTCTGCAGCGTCTCCGTCATTGGGTGTTGCTACCCCAAGCAACTGACAGATCTTGGAACTTGAGGACTTGACATGAGAGCTGTCTTCGGTATTATTCGAGCTTCCCTCATCACTAGATGATCTGGATTGATATGATTCAGATGGAAGTTCAGTCCCACTTCCATTGGTTCGTCGTTGATCTCCGTTCGCAGCGACACTCGCATCAAGAATGAGTACCCCATCCAAATCGCTCGAAGCCATCATGACATTTGCAGCACGTGAGAACATGGACTTTGAGTCATTTGGTAAGATGGAATTCTGAAGCGATCGAATTGAACGATGCCGGGCAGCTCTCGCTCGATTTGGTTTTGGTGCCACCGGGGATCTACTGCGTGTTGTTTGGTTCGGTCCATGTAAATCCTTTGCATCTCTCGTGTCGCTTAGTGAGAACGCCTCCCCATCAGTTCTGGAAGAAAGACCTGGCGTCTGAGGAGCTGCTGATGATCCGCGCCGATGACCTCGTTCGAAAGGTATCAGAGCAGATGCCCCCTCGGCAAACGATACGAGACCGCGCGTAAACCTTTCTCCCTCGGCCATACTGGTCTTTGGTAGTGGTATGTGTCGAGATAGTCAACTACAGTCGATGCCATGTCCCTGAAGAGAGTGATTTCTGCTTTAGAAAGGCCATCTCGAGGCTTGTCGTCGAACAAACACAGAGCTCCGACTGTTGCACCATTTGGTGAGACGAGTGCGACGCTGGCGTAAAATCGCATGCGAGAGTCATTTTTTATATCTTCTCGAACGCATGGTGTTGCATCCGCGGAAAGATCACCGATGATCACGATTCTGTCTTCTTTGAAGTTGAAGTCGAGTATCTTTTCGCACAGTCCTAAGCTGCGTGGAATGCTGACATTTCCAAACCATAACGTACTTGATGCATCCCCTGGCGCTTCCGGGCGGAGAGAAATATCGCATGTAGCTTCGGCTAAAATGTGTTGTCTCTCGTCGTCGAGGAGTGATATCATGGCCCGTTGGGCTCCCATGCGAATTGCAGTAAGTTGACATAAAGCTGTAAGAGTCGAGTCCACAGATAGACGTGGTACATGACTTCCCGCATTGTCGACATGTGGAATGTCGCGAAAAGCTGCACCATATAGGAGAAAAACATCTCGCTCCCTCCTCTTTTCGTTGCGGCCCGTCTTCATTGCCTCGTGGCTATTCGGTTGTTGACTCATGATGGTGAATGCCAATTACTGTGCTACGGAGGGTCGGGGATGTTCATGAGCTTCCTCAGGTATTGCGCTCCGCCATTGATGCGTAGAAAAGGCGCGCAAACTGCTGTATCTAGCAACTGCCATGAAACCGTGGGGCGTGAAATCGGAAGTTTACCTGTCGCCACAAGAGGCGAGACCTGGCGAACGCCATTGACCATTGACAGAAGCGGATCCCGCATGGCACTAGCACAATACGCTTAACCAATCTGCCTATCGGTATGCGCGATGATATTGTCTCATTGGTTAGATCTGATGCATCCAGGCCTTATGGCATTTGTGCTACATGATGGTATTCTCATGTTGGTGGCAACCGCGGTAGTGGATCGGCTTATTCAGCTTTGTGGGTCATCAGAAGTGAAACTAGACCTACGTATGTGAGATCCTCGGACTATCACGACCATCGAGCGCTTAACCAAGGTTGCAAGCAAGGTCAAAAAGATAGTGAACGCATTCTGACATCATGACATTGGCAGGTATGTTTCGAGACTAGCGCCTTGGCCGCACCAGAACCTAATCCTACCTGGCAGAGCTCCAACATCAAAACACGTATGTTCCAAATTGTGAGTATCGAGTTGAAATTCAGCCACAATTCAAACTTAGGGAATTTTTTACAGCAAAGGCAGAGTCAAGGTCCTGCTCCTTCATCCTCCTCGCTGCACAATCATCACATTCTTCTACAATCAATGGCCACTACACTGGCCCGATCCCCACCGAATTCGTCGATCCGAGAGACCCACCCTCGCCCATCCGTCCATTCGGCCGGACTTCTCATTCAATTCAATGAAATGCTTGATCCTCAGATTAGCATCGTCGTTCTAATGAACCGGATGAATCGCTTCTCTCATAAACAACTCTTCTACACGGAACCGAGGGAGCAGCGACCAAGGTTCTGAACGACCAAATCCCAGGCTATATTTGAGAGTAGATGTGTGATGTTCAGAGTTGAATGAAACGTTGTGATAACTTCCACAACAACAAAACGAAGACCTTCCCGTAGGTATGCTCGTTCCCGAAATACTAAATTGATTTCTTTGATAGTTTGTTATCGAAAAGACTTTGTGCTCGACGGCGTATTTCGTTAGCCTATTGGGCATTAGATCCCACCGCACCCGATGCTCCCCTTTTACGAGCAAATTCAGGTTCAGAGTTTCAGTGTAGTGAGAAAAAATTCTTTCGGGAACACCTCGAGTAATATTCAATGCCATTTCAGGTTACAAGATATGGTTTCAACAACGGTAGAGGACGATTTATAGCTCCTGATCGCTAGGTACAGGTCCAGGACGAGCAACCGGACCTCTTGGAGACACTCCTCAACACCGACAAGTGTTTCAACATCTTGCCTCATACTCTCCCAGCCCCCCTCCTTGTTTCCAGCTGGACCGACGCGTCCCATATAATTCTATCATAAAGGCGATGGAAGCTGTCTCGGGTAAGGAGCCGATTCCTCAACGTGGTGGGTGACATCGGGCCGGGAAAGAGTCATCTCGGGTAGGCCCCGGAACCTATCGACCGAGTTCCTCCACACTCACAGCACATGACGCAACATCCTCATTTGATAGTGAAGAGATGGAGCACATGGCATGTCAACTCGGCCATAGACACGCATCACACATCCATGGGAGTCATGGGGATAGTATTCTCGTGGTCGTTTGTGGAGGTATGAAGATCAGCCCTTCCCACGGAAGCCGAGTCAAAGTAAAGCGGTATAGACGAACGTGGTTAAAGTTCGATCGAATCATCTTTTTCACTGCGCAGATCGCTACGAAGACCGTGTTGCATGCCAGCCATAGCCTCGATGTCAAGTTCAGGCCCTTCAAACGGCCAGCATATTACCATATGAGCAGCAGATTGAATATTCATACTAAGAAACCACGCCTCCATGAGGCTCCTAAAGCAGAGACAACAGAGTGAATCTCGATAATGAAGGCCGAGAAGTGCAACAATGAGGCTCAAGATGCCGAAGACGATAGCTGGAGGCATGTCGTTGTTTTCAGACATTGCTGTGTTGGTACTGTGGTATCCTCTTTTTCGATAAGGTTTTAGGTTTGAGCTTGCAACAACAGTAACCTGCGTAAGAATACAGACGCCCGGATAGTTAGCTTTCCGACTAGTGCAATGTGCAGAGGTGCAAATAGTGTGGGAAAAGCGAATCAAAGACAATATACGTCGTGAATTTGGCCAAATGAGGTACGGGGAGATAATCTTGAACAGGATGTATCTGTTGACACGGCAAAGGTGTCGAATACTAGCAGTCGTTGCAACGAACAAAGTGTATAGTATTTGATTAGTAGTGAGCAAGAGCTGGATGGAGAGATCTCCATATGTACGGTTGCGAGCTAAGCGGGAAGCTTGGTCTAACTAGTGGTCCAAGCTTCCGGCCCGGAAAAACTCGCCGGGCTGGCTGTACGCGCATGTTCCGACACTGGCTTTTCTTCTTTTTGTGACGGCGTACAGTCAGCTCCCAAGTACCCCGAATCTGCTACAATATCCTGCTCCTAGAAAAGTATCTAGTTTCCTATTCCGGCTAACGCAAATACATGCAACCCATTCATCCCTTGTGTGTGTGTGCATGTGTGTCCGTCTCAGTTCTCACCACAATCAATCGTGGGCTCGGTGCCATCGCTCGTAGGCTCGGTGCCTGTCTTGTTTGTAGGCTCGGTGCCTGTCTTGTCTGTAGGCTCGGTGCCTGTCTTGTTCGTAGGCTTGGTGCCTGGCTTGTTCGTAGGCTCGATGCCTGTGGTGTCGCGATTCACCCATCCCTGTACACGAAGTTCGAGCTCGTTGGTGTCAATGAGATGCTCTAAAGCAGAGTTGCTCGCTGCCTTTGTCATCGCATCTGCTGGGTTGTCTCTGCCGTCAATCCAGCGGGTATCCATGAGATCGTTGCGCTCGTATGCCTCGCGCAATGCCATGATGTCTATCATGAGACGTTTCTCCTTAGTAGTGCCGAGTTTGACGAGACAGTCGTACAAGGATCGTGAATCCGTGCATGCGACAATAGAGACCTTAGGGAAAGACAGTCGGTCCATAATCATGTCAATCGTGGTGCCGATGGCCAGTGCAATGTCAACGCCATGTGCCATTGCATAGATCTCCGATGCTAGAACGCTCCTTGTGACGCGTTTGCATTTAGTGGAGGACCAGTGAATAATGTTGCCACGTATCTTAAAGCTGCCGTCTGAAGATGCAGTCTCGTTACCAAGAATAATAACGTATCCCATTTGAGAGCTCATGTCCTTGTTGTTGGCAAACGAGGCGTCCACCATCGTGTATAGCTTGAGATCTTTCATCTCAATAGGCACGTAGCTAAGTCCGCGAGAGACGTTTTTCTTCTGCCAGTTAATGCGCTTATTCAATCTGGATATTTCTTCTTTTGTCGGTTCAGTCGCTTGCGCTGCAGCGGCGAGATCAAAGCTTGCCTCTGGTTGACAGATAGTCGCGATATATGCTCCTCGTGCTCGTTGTTGTATGTAGGACTTTGCATCAACAGCGTTCTCAAGTTTCTCACCTTGCTTCTTCTGCCGTAAAGTAATGACGTTGCCACTGCCAAGATGTACCATACAGCCATTAAACTCGATAGGGTCAGTGTCTGTGAGGTACTTTTTGTCCTTAGCTTTGAAACGGAGCTCCTTGTCCTCTCTATCAGCGAATGCGTTGTCTGAGAGACCAAGAGTGTCGTCGGTTTGCATGCCAACAATGCCGAAACCTGTGGTTGTTCCAGCGTCGGTGGCCTTGGAGATGAGGAGGCATGGGTCGTACGTAGACGTCTCCATGTTGAGTGTCGTCGTGTGGTGTTTGAAGTATGTTGACCACCAGTAGGCACCTGCTTCGGCGATGCCATACAGTGGTTTCACCACGACCATGATGGTTCCTTGTGGGTACACTTTGCGGAGTTGTACAGGCAGGTCTGCAATGATAGTGCGCTGGAGGCGGTCGTCGGACTGCGTGTACGCCTGCGTGATGTCTCGGAGCCATAACTTCATGCCCATTTGGATCAATACCGGTGCAAGAGCAATAATGATCCTCTGGCTTGCGCGTTGTATCGTGGGGCTCTGGGTGAGTACAATCTTCTTGCCATCATCGGCGTAGCCTTGTACAACTAGTCTAGATTTCTCGTACGGCTTATCGGTGGTCTTGCCTTTCACTTCATTGACAATGCGGGACTTGAAGATCCGGATCCCGCCATGCTTGGCTAGATTGAATGGCTCAAAGCGGAAGACGCCGCGGGTAATGAGAGCGTCAATCTCTGTCTTGGTTGACAGCTCAAAAGGTTCTCCAGGTGTCGTGATCTTACCGGTAGTGCGCAGTGTCCTGGCTAGCACTATGTCGTCTTTCTCGCGCTGTGCGAGGTTAGCAGCGTGTGTCTTCGGCTTGTTCTTGGAGCCTTTGGGACGGCCGCGTCCTCGGCGTTGCGGTGGCTCTTCTGGGGGAACAAAGTCGTCATTGTCGCGCTGATGCTCGCTGTGCTGTTCCTCATCGCCGTGCTGTTCCTCGTCAGGTCGCGGGAGATTTGTAGTGTTGTCTTGATGATACGGCTGGACAGAGGTGATGCGGAAACTTGCTTGTTTCCCATGAGCGTCGACGATAGCAGCAGTCTGATCGTCGTTCAGGGCGAGGAGAGTGTGCGGGCCAGTCCATCCGAGGCCTTCACGCCACACCTTGACGTTGCTCTGCAGCGGTAGTTCTAGTACTTGCGTGACGATGTTGTTTGGCCCGTTACGGGTACCTAAAGCTTCATTGACTTGTCGCTTTGCCTTAATCTTCCGGACTTCTGCCATCGCTTTGCGTATTGCCGTTGCGCGCGCGGTGATTGAGGGAGATGGCGGTGATGTCTTGGAGAGACGTGGATAGGTGCCGAATACCAGCAGCGTTGGTACAAGTCCTTCAGGTCCGGCGGTGTCGTTGACAGCCTTGACAGCCATCTGGAGGATGTCATCCTTCGTCGTCGTAGATGCACCGATGTCGGCGGAGATGACTTCGAACGCTCGTCGGATGGCAGCATGGTAGCGTTCAATTTTGCCAATCGAGTGATGGGCCTCAACTGGTACTTCGTGGACTTCTATCATCATCGCGTTGGCATTATCAACAAACTCTTTGCTCGCAAAGTTTGTGCCAGCGTCGGTCGCGATAGTGTCGGGCGGTCCAACGTACATGTCAATCCACATAGCGCGCAGCGTGTCCCATGTTGTGCTTGCTTTTATGTCTATAAGAAAGCGGGCGGCTTGAAAAGCAGTTGCTTCGTCAACGGCGTGGAGGACTGGTTTACTGTCAATGTACATAATGTCGACGATGACGCGGGAGTTGAAGTCGAGGTTGTCATCGCGTAGAGTAAAGCGGAATCGGCCTGGTGCTTTAGCAGTTATCTGGCACTGATGACAGAACTTATTAATCTCATCAATTAGCGTCTTGTCAATGTCGTCGTGGCCTGCCTTTACTAGGACTTTGTAGAGGCGTGCGGCGGCTGGATGCCCAAAACGTCGGTGGAGTTGCTGGAGTTCTCCTTCGGTGAGATAGTGGGTGGCAGTCTCCTGCTTGTTGAGAAGAAGCCATGGATGCCCCCACTTGCGGACAATTGGGTACTCCTTGGACTGATGAACTAGCGTATTGTCGACGTTGTTGAAGTAGATGCCATGGCGGTCCATGTCATCAAGACAGAGTAAGAACGGTGTGTTAGTAGGCATTACAGCGAACCTAATCACTCCAACGGGTGTCTGGACGTTGACGTCGCCGATAGAAACACACTCCGGGTTATCCCCAAATCGGATCCGGTGTCGGCCAGCAGTTGACTTGTCAATCCATAACGGTTGGATGCGGTGTAACGCTGTAACCTGTTGCTTGCCTGCTGTAGACACTCCGGCCGCGCCGGTGTCTGGCATGATGCCTTGGAACTGCTCGCGCCCGTACCGGTGATCGAGTGTGAAGAGGTGGCTTGCCTCTTTGGCAATGTCGTTGCCGGCGTATGGGTCGATCTTCGTGATCGCGTGTAGAGCGGCGGCGTTGTTGAGGTTGCGTACCATTGTTCCTCCATCAACTGCACCGCAGGTAGCAGTGAGAAACTGGTGCTTTGTATCAAACTGGTCGTTGTTGAAGAACGCGTCGAGTTCTTCGTCCGTGCCGCCGTTATCGTCGTCGTCATTAAGGTCAATGCCCTCAAACTGGGCAAGGAAAGCTTCGTAGTCTATATCGACGTTGCGGGTCTGCACGTACGTCCGGAAACGTTGTTGCGCTTCCTTTCGCTCTTCTCTAGAGTGACGAGTTGACCAGCAGCCTGGCTTGCTACAGACGTAGCACTTCCTGTTATTGCGGCGCTGTGTATCATCGTTGTACTGCGATCGGGGTAAGCTGCGTTGGAAGCGGGATCCTCCGCGGTTGTAGTTGCGGGATCCTTCGCCTTGGCCTTGTGCGCTATAGTTGCGCGGTTTGTCGCGTTGTCCGCTATCGTTGCGGTTGTATCGGCGGTTTGTGTAGAACGCGTCTTCGCTCGGATCGGACTCCTCGCAGTTGAACTGTGAGCGCGGATGGCAGCGCGTCCAGTTGCCGACAGCGTTGCGGAGTTCTGAGGCAACGGCTTCAAAGGTTGAAGCTGGGCGGATAAGGACTGCGCTACATGCTTCGACGCCTTGACAGGCAGCAATAAGTTGGCTTGTAAGAGCGAGCTCGCTTGGTCCATTCTGTTGAGTCATTGCCTGGTGCAGCAGCTGGAGCTTGTCGATGACTATGTCGAGACACTGGGTGAGTGTCTTGTCGGGGTTGTTGGCGATGACGTCTTTCAGCATAATGGTGCGCCACTCACTTAAGAACATTTGGTAGTTCTCGCTCGTGTGAAAGTACTCCCCTAGTTTCTTGATAATGCTGTCGTAGTCTAGGTTGAGTGGAGCAATGTAGTTGTAGTAGTATGCTGAGGCCTTGCCTCTAAGCATAGTAGAGACTGCAAGTTTGTACTGTGCTGGTGTCGTAATGCCAACCTTTTCGCAATGGTCTTTAAAGATGACTATCTTGTTGTCGAGGACGTCATACTTGTCGCCACTGAACTTCTCCTCCTCACTGTATACCTTTGCGAGGTTGGTGAGGGCTGTTACGTTTGCCTGAGCAGGAGATGGCGCATAGTTTATACTGGCGCTTTGAGTTGGCGGGTTGCTGCTTTGTTGAGTTGTTCTAGCGTGTTGTGCCTCTTCTGCTATCTGTCGGCATTTGAAGTCTGGGTTGAGTCGCATAACGTTGAGCTCGTCAATGGGCCAGTCGGGAGAGCGTGTAAGGCTAAGGAGATTGACTAGCTGTTGTGCGATGGTGTTGCGGCTGTTCTTCTCGATGTAGACACCTCGGTCGCGGAGTATGTTCTTGACTGCTGTACGGACTCGCATGTCCATTGCATTGAAATGATTGAGAGACCATCCTGCAAATGTCTCTTGGAAGTCTTGAATAAGCATGATGTCAAAGTCTCCGTTCTCTTCGGCCTGTATCATCCAGTCGATAGCAATAGTGCTTATCTGACCAGGGATAATAGCATCGGTTGCAATGTCGAGTTGGGTATTGGTGTACTCGTCCGCGTACACCTTTGGGTACCATTGCCGGGTAGTAATGCTTGTAGGCATGATTCCGGTGGGTTGCTTGTGAGTCGCGGGGTTGCCTGTGGGTCGCTTGTAGATTGCCCGTAGGTCGCTCGTCGCGGGGTTGACTGTGGCGGGGTTGCTCGCCGGTGATTTTGTCGGGTTTTGGTGCGTAGTTGACGCAGATCCCTAGTTCTGGATCTCTTTCAGACTCCGTCAGCCGAAACGAACGCTCGTGGGCGGATCTGTTCTTCGCACTGCTTAATACGATACAAGGTCGTACTAAGAGTCGCTTCTTTACCTAGGCTACACAGACGCAATGCTGATGGGCCCTCTGTACACAGATGTCTTGCCGATCTGTGGTCATATCAACCACTGATCAGTGTTGACACGGCAAAGGTGTCGAATACTAGCAGTCGTTGCAACGAACAAAGTGTATAGTATTTGATTAGTAGTGAGCAAGAGCTGGATGGAGAGATCTCCATATGTACGGTTGCGAGCTAAGCGGGAAGCTTGGTCTAACTAGTGGTCCAAGCTTCCGGCCCGGAAAAACTCGCCGGGCTGGCTGTACGCGCATGTTCCGACAGTATCTATGAATAGAAAGGTATTTCAAGTTGAACTGGAGTTGACAAGTCTGTCTGCTTGTCCTTTTAACTGCCATCTGACAGACGGGGAAGGGGCACAGACCACACAGGTAAAACCCCGGGACTTGCAGCTTTTTGTGGAGCGGTCAGGACGCTAGTAACGAGTGTCGCATATAAGAATATAAGAAAGCCAATGGAAAGACGGGGCCGCCTTCCTGGGGCTGGCCGGTGATTTGTGCTGCGGCTGTGATGGCTTGAGTACTGGGCTCTAGGGTTAATCAGGCTGGGAAGAGGCGTGGACCCAGAATTGACGCACGATGATGTCGCACGTGACTTATCGATAGCACGCACCACCGTGCTATCGCGTCTCACTCTCGCGTTCGCGCCACGCCACTACTCCATCCAAAGAACCGCATCACCCAAACCTCCAAACAAACGTCCTTATCTCATCTTCATCTCCAACCTACGTTCAGCAAATACCTATGAACCCAACAATGATGCTCACAACGTCCTTCTTCTCGCACCAAATGCCTCACTACTCCGCTTACACGCCCCCACGCTCCTCACCACTCTCACCCCGCTCCACGTCGGATTCCAACAACACGCGCACCCCGCAATTCACAATGTCGTCGCCGATCCGCGAGAAGCCGTCCATGAGCCAACGCGCGTTCAAGCCGAATCCCATGATGCAGACGCGCGACGCGGCGACCAAGAGGCGACGAGAGATATTTTTCAAGCGCGTGCAGAATAAGCGCGACGACAAGAAGTGGGAGTCGAGGGGTGAACAGGTATGCAATAATGTACGATAATGATGATTGTACTATTTGCTAATTCATCACTCGACAGATTCAACAGCTAGACTTTGTATCGGAGCGGAAACGTTGGGAAGCAGAGAAGGCGCGTCAGGCGCCCCCGGAAAACGACGATGTGCCTGAAGAACTTTTGGATGATGCCGCGGCACTACCGACTCAACTTCCACATTACCAAAACGCGACGACGCAGTTTGACCAGGGCTTGACGGAGGCGGATTATGTGGCTGCGCAGGAAGAATACGAACTACAGCAACTGGTTGCGTCGATGGAGCAGGATGGTGATGGACAGTCGTCGCAGCACTATGGCAGCGATGACGACGATTACGATTCTATATTCATGGAGTGTGCGATGGTGGGGGGTGAGCAGTTTGGACAACAGCAACAGCAGCAGCAGCAGGGCCAACATGCGCAGGGAGCGTTTGGGTGTGGGGAAGATGTGGATATGGACATGACGGATGGTTGAACAGCATACCTGAGGTGAAGAGGTCACTTTGGTCATTACTGCTGATAATCAAGGCGTAAGGGGGGTTTGTGCATATTGCAAGAAGACATATCTTGACCAGTCGTTACGTCATCAGATCGTTTTTGCAAACAAAAGACATCAGGATTATATTGGGTATCTGGAAGAATGAAGCAGCCTCGCCATCAGTACATCACTGTGTCGGACAACCCTGGTCCATATCCTGCAACGCTTCTTGAGCGGCATTCATGTCGCCAACGAGGTCCGGCGGTGGTGATCCAGCAGCCTGCATCTGTATAAAATATTAGCATTAGATCATTACACAACCCATCAATATGTAGAACACATACCTTCTGCATCCGCTCCACAATATACTCTCTGTCCTGTGGATTATCATCACTATACCCCTTCCTCTCGAACCGCCCCACAATCTCCCTAACCAGCGTCTGCTGCTCCTCAAACCTCTTCAGATCATCCTTTTCCGTCTTCTCCCTGTTCTTCTCCATCCACTGAGGGAACTTGTCGTCCAGCTCCTTCATGGGCTCGTACAGGATATCCTTGTTGGTGAGCTGCTCCATCATGCCCATTAGTACCTTTGAGAAGTCTTCCTCGCCACCTTCGCCGCCGCCAAAGCCACCGGATTCCATGGATGCGAGCATTTGGGCGAGGATGTCGTCTTGCGAGGAGGAGGCTGCGGCGGAGGTTGCGGTGTCGGATGATGATTGCATGCGCTCCATTGTTTTCTTGATGGTTTCTTGGAACGACTTTTCTGCTTTTGCGGAAGTCTCTTTCTCGGCTGAGGGGCCTGCGCTTGCTTTTGCTGTATTTGTTCCTTCGGGTTTGGACGCGTCGGAGTGGCCGTGTCCGGGTACTGCGAGAGGGTTTGCGCCGCCCATTTCTTCGCTCATCTCCTTCATGATGTCTTCAAACTGCTTCTGGAAGTCGCCCTGTCCTAGGAGATTTTCCATCTCCTTCTGTAGCTGTTTCTGGAACTCATCTTGGTCTTCGAGTAGCAACTCTGCGGGAGATATGTCTTGGGCTGGCCTGCCGGGACCGGAAGAGGCGGGGGCGTCGCTGGGGTAGGCGGCTGCTATGGAAGAGGCGGTGGGGACTTTGGCATCTAGTTTTGTATTTGCGAATTCATCGAGCACATCGTCAAGATCTGAGAGATCGTCTTCTTCGGGGTCTGATGCTACCTCGGGTGGTGGAGGGGCAGCTGCCGTGGAAGGTTTGACAGCTTCCTGCTCTTCTTTCTTGGCCGCCGTATCCGTCATAGCTCCTATATATCACTATCCGGTATCCGTATTAACGCGTATCAAAGTTAAGAGTCAAAAGAAGCAGTGGTGGAGGACACAGGTGTTGAGCATATGCACGTAGAATACCAGCCTCGGCCCGCCAGCACGCACTCATCACATGGATAAGCGGGGCAAGTAAGTTAGCGCGGGGCGAGATCGGCAATCGCACCTTCCACCTTGGCGGCTGCGCGACCGACACCTTGCAACGGGATCTAGGCCGGAACCAATGCTGTGGGCGCCCGAGAATTGTTGTCTCGTCACGTGCAACCGTATCCCGACTTCACTTGCTCTTGTCTGAGCTGTGCCTGTCTACCTTGACCACAACATCGTAGTAGCGTTAAACCACGATACCGCACCCCAAACTTCGCATCTTGTACCCGCTTCACTCGTCGACAACTTCGCTGCTCACCGTGGACTTCTCAACCACCGCGGTACGAAACTAAGGAGTACACCGACTAGACAATCAGGCGCAAATCGCCCACGCGCTATAACACATTACGCGCAATGTCTCTCTGCATCAATCGCCTCTCGGAGGAGAGGTACGTCAACCCAACGTCGTGTTCCACTACATGGTGCTTTCGCTAACACCATGTCTCAGGAAGTCCTGGCGAAGAGACCACCCCTTTGGCTTCTTCGCAAAGCCCATGCGCGGCACCAACGGCATGATGGACCTCAAGAAGTGGGAGTGTGGTGTCCCCGGCAAGGAAAAGACCATCTGGGAAGGCGGCCTCTTCAAGCTGGAAGTTGTCTTTCCCGATGAGTACCCGACAAAGCCTCCCAAGTGTACGTACCCGCCCTCCCTTACCACACCCACGCATATCATGAGCGCAATCGCTAACCATCACCGCGCGTCTCACAGGCAAGTTCGTTCCGCCGCTCTTCCACCCCAACGTCTACCCTTCAGGCACCGTCTGCCTCTCCATCCTCAACGAAGAAGAAGGCTGGAAGCCCGCCATCAACATCAAGGAGATCCTACTCGGTATCCAGTCGCTTCTCGACGAGCCTAACCCAGATTCTCCAGCTCAGGCTGACGCATTCAACCTTTTCAAGAAGGACAAGATTGCGTACGAGCGCAAGATTAAGCAGATTGTCAAGGAGAACCCGGCACCTTAGTATCCTGAGGCTCAGGAGTGGCCTATGGCTGATCTGGGGAAGCGCAAGATCAAGCAGATCGTCAATGAAGACCCGGCACGTTAGGTACCAGAGGTTCAGGAGGGGCCTACGGCTTACCTGGGGAAGCGCAAAGGGAAGTTGTGACTGGCGGCATGGGATCTTGGCTTGTAACTTGAAAGTTGGCATAGGCCGGCATGAAAACGACTTGATGGTTGCACATTACTTTTTTTGGACGAGCGAGCTTCTAGCTTTGGCGCATATGCACGTCTTTGACGCGATCAAGGCGGATCCTGGCGTTCTGGTAGTACAAATTATGCAAGCGGGGGGCTACTTAGACGGAGAAAAGAGCCATTGTACGGTTATGATACCTAGCTTCTTCTTCTCCTTAGCTTTCTTCATAGCGGACTTACGTCCGTTTGGAAATCTATCAATGATTCACCCATGCAGAAAAGCTCCAGTAGTGGTATCAAATATATTAAAGTGAACCTGATGATCCTTGATGTAATCCAGGTAAGGAAAGATTTGGCAGTCCATGTTGCCACGCCCAAGCAGCGTGGCCCCCGCATTTTGATATAGTACAAGCTTCTCGTCTTAAGAAAGCTTCCCACGACTCCCTGTCCAATTTTGTGCCCTTTGTTCATCCTACTGTTGAAAACAGAGCTCGTAGTTCAAGACCGAAGTCTGATAGTATCTTCAGCATCCTGAATGGCAAACGAATGGAGCGCTGTACCGGTCTGATGAAGACCTAGTACGGGCGGTATGCCGAGCCTCCTCTTCCGCCGCGGTATCCGCCACGGTAGCCACCTCCTCGTGGAGCGCCGTAGCCACCACCACCGAATCCACCGCGTCCGTAGGGCGAGCCGCGGCCACCGTAGCCACCTCGGGGGGCACCTCGACCACCGCCTCTGCCTCTGGTCATGCCAGGGAGGTTCGTTCGCTTTGGGACGACCTGTTACCATGCGTTAGCTTCCGCATACCCACGTACAAAGTTGCTGGGTTTCCGTACCTTGAGGTTCCGATTCCGGAACTCGCTTCCGTCGAGAACTAGGGCCTCATTGACTAGATGCGGTTCTGTGAACTCCACATACGCATACCTGCATACGCTCATTAGCGTTCCGATCTTTCTGCCAAACTCTTGCCAGGTAGCGAAAGAACATGTTTGCAAGCATCCACATACGCTGCTGTGAATGCGACTCTACGCGACTCATTGCGCGCACGTTTGCTGGTGGGTGGAATAACGTGTCAAAGGAACGCGCAAATCTTCAAAGGAAACCTCCTCTTAGTACTGACCCTTTAGGATGCCCCGTGAACTTGTCCAGTAGTATGGTCACGCGGTTAATGCTGCCAATGGACTGAAAATGTGCCTGAATCTCTTCAGGGCTGGCGCCGTAGTCGACATTGCCGACAAAGACACTTCGCGCGTCGACGTCTTCTTTGCTCTCGCGCATTTCGTGTCGCTCGTTGTCGATGGCTGCCTGCATTTGGCGCAGCTTCTGGGCTTCTTCCTCCATCTCTTGTACGCGACGCCTCATTGCTGAGATCTCTTCCTACTGTGCTGTCAGTATGGAGTCGCAAAATGAGGTCCCAGCAGGCGATCTTTGTGCTTTGCATGATTTCTGATGTGACTCTTGCTTGCGGGTCATCCGGGGGTGTCATACCTCTTCGTTGGGGTCTTCCGCGGTATCAAGGCGCTCATCTTCCTCGCGCTTCAGCTCAGTATCGACGTCAGACATGATGGCGGTGGGTTAACTAGTAACAAAGAAAACAGTTCAGTATTGGTATTACAGCTGCTGACGAGCTATAGACTTACGAGGCTACGGTGAATTACTAAGAATGTGATGATGAGTTGCGCCGCGACGGTTGTGTGAATGTACTTGTTCGACGGAGCTTCTAGCGTGGGAAGCTAATGCGACAACGTTTGTAATGCTGTCAATGTTACGTAGAAAGAAAGACGCCTGATGGGGGAGAAGGTAGTGTTGCTCATACGAAATGACGAATGGCCCTGGGGATGCTCATAGCGCGACGCTAACGGCCTGCGGAGCCTCACTTATGTAATCACGAGCTGCTTGCAGTTGCACACCATCTTCTGCTGTGGTGGTATTCTTTCTCCCTATGGTGAATGTACAATTCGGCAGCTGCCCTTCCCAAGTCACCCATCTTCGAAGCTCTAGCCACAGTTGCCTGTCTTGAAGCTCTTTCCAACCTGTCGCCCACTATACCCAACAATCCGGAGTTCCGCCATCAGGTGCCGCTGGCAGCGGATGAACGCACATTTTCATCCCAGATATCGAAGGTTCCATCATCCGACTTTTTGCGATCGAGCCATGCCGTGGATCTCTCCCAGCTCTTTAATGCTTCTTCCTTATCATCATGCTCTTCATCGCATTCGTTCCAGCTTCTTTCTTGACGCTTGGTGTGACTTCCACCGCTTTCAAGTCTTTGGCTTCATCGAGAAAAGGTGCGATCGGAGACTTCGCAATACCCATGCGGTTGAAGCAAAGCATCATGATATAACCTCCCCGTCTAAACACCTTATCTTTCTCTGGCGTGTCGGTAAGCTGATGCAACCTGCGAAGTATGCGGCCAAGATATGCTTTCGGCAGAGCTTCAATATCGAGAAAGTCTTCGACACTCATGTTCGCTATACCGTTGTTGATACAAAACGTATCCACGAGGAACTGAAGCATCGGATCCTCGGCTGGTAGGCAGAAAAAGAGATACTTCACTTCCGGGTTGTGTGGAATAGATCGCCAATCTTTGTCGAAGATGGCGCCCATCAATGCAGTCTTGAATGATATTGCCGAGATTTGTTGCGCTAAGACGTATGCGCGATAGCAGATTGATGTCACGCTGTCATCGATAATGCAAGAGGGTAGTGTTTTCTCGTAGATCCAGTCAATGAATATCTCGAACGATTTCCTGTCGAAATGGTGAAGAGTCAGAGATCCCTCGTTCTCGGAAAGCTCACGGCGGAAGTATCCAGGGTACTCTGTAAGAAGCTTTTTGTGGAGGGTGTATGCCTTCTTCTTGAATTTGACCTCGACGACGCCCAGATCGACAGCGACAGCAGCACTGCGCAGTATTAAGGTTATGACATAACAATCCTTTTTTATTTACCTACCTTGGTCTGAGCGGTGCTTTGCCGATATCGTCAAATCCTTTCATTGTAGTTGTAGCACCTGTTAATTCTGGCACCACAGTGTCAAGAAAAAGCTGGTGGAAGTTGTGTGAATGGTCGCTGCAGTTGGATATGGAAGGCACACTTGTATGAGGGATACGGAAATCCCAATCAGGATCCAGCTCTCTCACTAATCCTAGACCCCAAGACCCCTGCCCTACCTTTACTACGCCGCCTATTCGCGAATGTCGAGTGTATGTTATATTCACTTTCGAGTCGCAATATCTAAGGTCAATGCCGCATCAACGAGTCAAAGGGACAAACTGTCCAAAGAAAGAAACTATGTATTACCTGGCATGGACCATGCTTGCAATTCGAGCACGTGATGTGAGTCTTACTCTAACTTAGCCAACTGAAGCGCTTATGTACATCGAGACAGAACAGGACAGTATGCTTGTCAAGGTCTTACTCGTTAATTGATTGTGCACTACTATTTTTTGTCGGTTTAGCGAGCCAAACGCCTTTAAGATTATTCGGCTAATTCTACGGAGCTTGCTCGGGCTTTACGTACCCGGTTTCTTACAATTTGCGACGTTTGCCTATAGTTGATGCATATATTAGCTATGGATAATGCATTGACGTTACAACGCGAAGATATCTGTCTAAAACTTGTTAGCTTTATCTTCCACGTTTAAGTATGAATGAGAATTTACTAAGGTAGGGCATAGAATTCGGTTCATAGAGGAAAGAAAGCCTAGTGTGTATTAAACAAAATTATTTGGTAGAGTGTAGATATTAGTGGGGGCGCAATAGATTTTATCTATATACAACATTATGGTACTGCTGCAGGCTGCCATACTATACTAACCTTGGCATACAAAACTAGAGAACTTCAAACAGTTTAAAGCCAAGAGGTGTTCTTGAAACAATACACAGTGCTTCTGGTAAGTTAGGTAAGCTGTTGTTTTGAATCCTGGCTGGTACGCTAACGATGGGTAACATGGTACAGTGTCAAACATGGAGCATTTTTGAGCTCAATCTACTCTACCTACCATGGAAGTGGTTACTATAGTGCTGCGTAGGCTATATAAATTGCTGCTTTTTTCCTCTCTTCCCAAACTGCTCCTTCATATATCGACAGTACTCACTATGCTATCCAAAAGACGTTCAGTGCGGGCGTCCGCAGTTCGCCCTAGGTATGTACACCAACACGCAATTGAAAGCAGTAAAACTAATACCAGACAGCGCTGCAGCATCCTCCGGCACCATTATTGTCAAAGTCGGCCGTAATGGCAAGGAGTACACACTCCATACAGAACTTCTCAAGCAACACTCCGGATACTTCCGAGGAGCTCTATCCCACGACTGGAAAGAGACCGTCGACGGTATCATCCCTCTTACCGACGTGGAAACGGACTTATTCGACATGTTCGTTGACTGGATCTATCAGGGCACCATTTCAACCCCCTTCGATAAAACCGGTCCACTCATCAAAGTCAAAATGCGACATCAATGCTATTTCCTGGCTGACAGACTCTTGGCTGTCGGCATGAAGGATGCTCTGATGGACGATATTTTTCGCCTGTATGAACAGACTGGCTACGGATTCTGTCCCTCGGGCAGCGAAATTACTGACGTCTTCGCCAAGTTGACTGAGATGGATCCATTGGTTAAGCTCTATGTCGATATCTGGCATACCACTGGAGGCCCTGAGCAGGGAGAAACCCCGATTATCAATGACATGAAGAATTTGCCCAAAGAATTTCTGGTGCTCTTGGCGGTAAGGTCGTGGGTCACAAGCCGTAACCAGATGCCGGGTGTATATTTGAACCGCAACGACTATAACCAGAGGGTTAGCTTGGACGAACCAGGGAATAATGACTTATTGGTTCTGGAATCCTCGAGTTCTAGGTCTTCAAGCTCTGAGTACGCGAGCTCTGAGTACTCAATTGAGTAGCGTTCGGGGAGATCAGAAGATCTTCACGGTCGGTGAGGGACGGAAGGTGGGACAATGATTGTTCGTACCCCAATGTTGTACCACTCATCTGGAAATTAGAGGATTAGTACATTTCAGTTGCTAGAAATCGTTCATCTCATAGGTTCAGAAGGTAGACGCGACCAACAACTATGCACCAACCTTAACCACATATCGCAAGCTACGCATCTTGGTTCTGCAACATAAATAGTAAACACCGCCCCGTTATACTGCTGTGCCCTATCGTTGAAACTTTCAATCATCACAATCATCGAGGCTATCTTTGGACACGTAGCGGAAATGCGGGACCTTTTATCATGTCCATGGGAAAAAACCCTGGCAGAGCTCTTTGGCACCTACAAACATGCTATATTAGGTGAGTGTGTTGCGTATTTTGATTACTTTGTATGATTATTCACATGCGCAAATACCTTATACTCCTTGAGTGTATTCTGATCTTTCTTAGTTTCTATGTTGAAGCATTTCGCCTGTATCTTGTTCGTTGCGACTATAGCCTGCCAAAGAAGACTAGACGTCTACAAAAGACCCCTTTTCTAAGAAAAGAAAAGTCTTGAAGAATTATGCCTGTTCAGTATTTTGACCATGCCGGCGGTGAGTGAAGCTTCACTTTTGTAGTGTCGTGCGTAGTGCCTGCCTACCCTTAGTTGTCAGTATCTACGCTTGGTCCATCCGAGCTTACCTCCGACTCCGACTCCTACGGAGAATCCCGCGTATCACTCTTCTATCCTTTGCAAACGATGTGTACAATCTATCCCACAAAAACATTCGGAATCGTCACCCGAACTAACCAGTATGTACTTAGGAGAGCACGTCAGATTCCCCACTTTCTGGAATAATGAGGCCAAGCCTCGTACCCTCCCTCCACGTGTTCCGACCGAGCCAGCCCTGTCTATGTTGCATGTAAATATGTCGCCGGCAAATCGCCGATTCGTAAGAAAAACATCACCAAGCATGAGCCGTTGTCACTCGTACATACTTGTCTGTGACTGCCTGCGCAGCGGTGAGACTAATCCGTCCAGCCTATTGACTAGTGCGGAATTTTGGTTGGCAGTATATCGCGAGAGTTGCAGCTTTCAAGTAACATCGATAGTGCGCCTTTTGAATCTAGAGATTAGGGTGGTCCACTCATGCATGTGACGACCCCATGTTAGGAACAGGGGTTTACGATTAGGCAACGCGGCTTCACACTTCGGCATCTGGCTCCGAATCTCCGAATCCTTCTACACTCCGGCCCCGAAAGTAGCGTCTCCTACCTTGTCCTTTGCTATTCTAATTCCGAGACCTTTTCGATCTGCACATGCATTGTTCAAACGTGCCCAGTGGAAGAGATGACGCATTCGTGAGGGCGAGCACACTAGATCAGCTTACGACATGGGGTGAGCGGAAGTGTTGTCAGGTACCATTGCCGACCGAAAAGTTCGAAGTGGTAAATATCTGCTTACAAGGGAACATAGCAATGCCCCGTTAAACAAAGTTTATCGGCATGCACGTTGCACTGGAGATTCTTATCAACAGCCCCGACACGATGATAATTATCTCGGCACATGTTTCATGGCATACCACAATGGATGTTACCGGTACTACCCACACCTGAGGAGTTGAAGCTGCAAGGATGACCATGGCTGTTGTCAATATCCAACCTTAGCGCCAGAGAAGAGAATTTTCTAGATGAAAGCCATTATACCGAGACCCAAAGACATCTTGACAATCTGTCCGAAGCTCAGACATTGGGAACCATCATCGTAACAGTAACACGATACCGCCAGCATGAGCATCTGATCGCCTTATGGCCGACCAATACGATAGTGAAGATCGGTTTCAAGCATCGAGTCGCATGCAAAGAGTTGACGAGAATGGACTAAGATAAAACCCCATCTTTTGCAAAAGATCTACTCACTACGTAATCCCGCCCGACTTCTGATGCGATGTCCGTCAGAAAGCACGAGTAAGCATGACGAAAAGACATACAGCCAAGTGACAGTCTTTCACGACAAGGAACATAGCCCCTCAGACTCCACTTCCCAGTCCCCCAAGCCTTGGCCGAGAGTAAGCCCGCTCTGAACGATCCAATAGTCCCGTAACCCAGATCTATCACATCCGCCTTCCTCAAACGCTTTGTACCATTCGTAGTAATTCATAGCGAAATACGAACAGAACATTCTATGCGACTTACCACGAACTAAACTAAACTATACTGTATGTTGACTTCATACATTTCCCATCAATTCTACACCATCACATCCCAGTGCAAATATCCTACCAACTCTCCATATATACAGCCTGAAAACATCCCTCACATACTCACTCACCACCAAACCCTCATTTCTCCTTCAGCTGTGCACATACACGTACCCCGCTAAACGGACCGGAAAGTTTTCCGAATGCGCGCGGCGCAACTACCCAAAACAGGAAACACCCTCATCGCATCCAGATGTAAAAGTGGGTAATCCAGCTACGATTGGAGGTTCGCCGTAAACTTTCCAAAGAACCAGGTACCGCATATGTTCTGTTTCAGATTTGCGTTCGTCGCATGTATCCAAGTGGGGAGTGAGGAAAACATCTTCTGTTGCCTGCTGTGTCATGTTGTGCATTCATTCCGGGGCAAAGATGCAGATTGATAATTTTAAAGTTTCTATGGAAGGAGTTCCGAATTGGGGTTGCACAGGGGAGGGATTAGAGAGACCTGGTTGTGGGCGATGCGCCTGGTGTTTCGGAATGGGGTAGGATTGAGAAGGGGGAGGGGGTTCTTGCAGGCCTTCGTATTGAACGGCGACCTGGTAGTGATGGGGTGTCCGGATCGGTCGGAGCGCTGCTGGCTGGCTGGCTGGCTGCGATGCCAGTTTGTATGGGGTTACGAGGGATTGGCAAAATTTAACTTGTTTGAAAGTACGAGGTGTCGGTAGTTGAACCCATCGAATCCGAGATGGAAACCTGTGTATCCGACAGAGTACGACATGTTGGCTTGGCACAGTCGTGTTCTGTATCGATCTTGGGGAAACATGAGAGGTCTGCATCATTGTGTATTGCAATAGAAGGGTCAAAGTGCCCCACGTAAAGTGCCCAAAGGCCTACGTATCGCCAATATCTGGCGTCTGCAACAGTGAATGTGTAAAAGCCCGATCAACTACAACTGCCATTTTGGTGGGCTCCGTGTTTCCACATTTGCGACAAAACCCTGTGTTCTTGCTTGCTCGTTGGTCGGATCAATGCCCACCGTAAACTCTGGTCCCCGTGCATGTCCGTGTTCTTCATCGTATGTTAATTCTCGTGTGCTCGTCCCATTGCTCTTCATGCTGGCTGTCCTTTCAAGGTCCTTGTCGTGCAGCTCGTATTGGGCGCTGTAGTCGATACGCTCCTCTACGACTTCGACTTCGTAGCTGACAAAGATGGCATGGAACGACTTTTCGATGATTGGCCAGAAAATAGGCATGGAGGCGCAGATGATGGCAAGGTCAATCTCCGAACAGGAGAGTACAATCATGATGGGTGCCCACCATGTCCAGTCGACGTATGGATAGGTCGCGCCCCGTGTGATGATAATGCCATGTAGACGGTAGACGGAAGTTCCAACAACACTATAGAGGTATCAGATTGGAGTCACGATTGATAAAGCAGAATACTTACACCGCGCCAAATGTGAAGACACCGGTCATTGCCAACACATTTTTCATCCGTAAGTTTGGTGTTCGGAACAAGACCATCGGGGTCATGAAGATGGCCATATCCAGCACCATGTTGGTGGCTGCTTGAGATATGTACATACCGATGAAGGTGTCGAGATTGTCAAGACCATAACCGTAGCACTTGGGGTTGAGGGCGCGATTCCAGTAGCCGGAAATGGGGAAGCAAGGGAACCATGCCGTGATGGAAAAGCCAATGCACCAAAGCGAGACCACGACCAGTAGGCCGATACAAACATATCGCATCTTTCCAGCCTTGAAGATGCGAAGATATTGAAAAAGTAGGGCCAGTTTGATAACTCCACAGTTGGTGACATATACTGCGACTTCGAGGTAATAGAGCTGCTCTGGTCAGCGATAACTCGGGTTGCGTAAGCAGCTACACATACACGTAGATAGGATATGGTGTCTGAAATGGAAAGATATAGCATATGACGTCCCAGTCCATGCTCGATTGCTAATAATATTAGCCAAAGTTCATTCGGCGACAATAGGGAACGTACAAAGACACATTAGAATAGTTGCTCCAGTATTGAGACACTGAAACTCGACTTAGTCCCGTTGTCGTACCAATGATCCCGCGAAGATTCGCATACCTGAGCAAGAAGAACAAAGGCATCATCCCAACCCAGTTTCTTTACGATTTTGATGCGGACGTAGAAACGAAAGAAAACAGCACACCATGCCACGGTCTAGTTTTTGTTAGTTCCTGAAGCATATACAGAGAGTTGGATGCATACCAAGAAAGTGATTGTGATACCCAACATAGTCGACTTTTTGTTTGCTAATGGCTGCGGCTCATCCTTGGGAGGTGCATTCTTCAAAGCATCCAAGTACAATAGCTGCCATGTCGATATCGACATCTTGGTAGACTAGTTGATGTGAACGCCAGCGCCGGCGCTGTTATGGAGGGTACGAAGTTGATGAATGAATGAGACCCTTCGAGCCAAGCAGTGGGGACGGAAGCTCTAAAGACTGACAACCGCCCATCCGCCTTCTCTAACGATGCTGCAGTATACAACTCAGGCCCGTTGCCAAGCTAGGTCTATGCTGTCCACGCAGGGATAGCACAGGTGGAGGCTGAACGCTAAGTGATAAGCGAGTCACGAGCAGCGGATGGATGCATTTGACAGGTTTTCACTCAAACTCTATGTATAGGCGTCATGGATCGCGTTGGGACCATTGCCGCGTCTTCACGATTTGCCAGGGAAAAGCACGCGGACGCACCTGCACTCTCCTGAACTGCTCTTTTATCGACATACTTTGTGTTTTCTCTCCCACGATTATAAGCTACTCTAGGTGTTTAAGGATTACATCTAGTGCGCGTTGTCATTTGCTGTGTCCCAGGATGTGAAGACCGCATTACTCCGAGCCCTGCCATAAAAGTGGCAACCATCGCGACAACCAGCCGGCGCCGGGGGAGACGGACAGCAATGACCCATTGCAAGATAACAGCCGCTGCGGCGCAGCAGTGTGAAGGTGAAGAAGGCTATTCGTCTCAGTTCCCAACACAACGCGCGCTATGATCAACACCAGGGCTACATTTCTGCCACGCCACACAAGGTTTTGTTCGATCGTCAGTGGATCAATCGCCCGAGCCAATTGCAGCTAGCGAGGAACGACTGATTTTGACTCGCTCGATGTCCACTTTTTTCTTGAATTCTCGCGCTAATCGAAATCAACTCTGGAGACTGGTTCGGGTTGTTCATCTTACGCGCACATGTGGTGCTCTTGGCAACGGCGACTGCAGTGCTGCAAGGTACCAGGACTCGTACTTGCAATGAGGCGATTGCATCATACGAAATCCTTTACTGGGGAATGAGATCTAGACCGTGCCGCAGTGACATTTCTAAACAGTCATTCTGAGAACTGAAAAGATCACCGGCGATTAGCCCGAAGCTGAAACATGAAATCGTGTGAAGGATCGATGGATTTGCGTCCGAGTTCGGCCAAGACTTCTCTTTGCGAACAGCTGGAGTAGATCGCGAGGAAGAGGACACGAATATCCATTCGCTCTAACATGGACTGGAAACCGTATTTTGAAGCTTTCGGAGCTTGAACCGCTGTGGTAGAAACGGCTCCTGTGCGGCCCGGAAGCGTTGAATGACGCACGGACTGAGCGACCCGTGCAGGCACTCGTGATGTATGTAGTTTGCACAGAATTTTCACATCGTAAAGGGTTCTCGTGGTGTTGGTTCCCATCCAACTTCGTATCTCGGGGCTTACACAGATACTAGTATACCGCTACGTCCTGAGCTCTCGTGAGTGATGTCAAGTAAGCTGACAACTGTCTCTTAACCGAGGTCGGCCATTTACCCAGACCCCATACTTCGGAGTATCCTCCTCAAAGACGCGTCCGGCATCTTGCGTTTCCGATACGCCGCCGGTGAAGATACCTAATGCGAGTGTCGAGTGCAGCAGATACGGCAGTAATCGTTGCAAGTTGCATGCCCAGGCGGGGGTGATGGAGGGGTGAGCACTAACCACACCGAATCGCGATCTCAAGATCTACCTATATCAATTCTTTGCATTGATAGCTGGAGGCGGGTATATGATATCAGCAATGGATCTAGCTGGTATTGCAGGGTTAGATCTGACTTATGTCGATGCTGCTGTTCCTAGTGAAACTTAGTTTGGAGGTGATAGATAGACGATTGGCCCATGCGCTGACGGCCAGTCACCGTCCCCCCGGGATCCCGCATGTCCAAGAGCTGAACGACACTACAATCGCCTGACGCTCGAAGCTTTCGCACGATCCTAAATGTGCCTATCCAAATCGCAGCAGCATATTCGCAAAACGTCCTTGTAGTTCACCAGTTGAAGCGCGGTAGACGCGAGGCTTAACTACAAACCAGCACCCCCAGGCTACAACGAATTCACCTGCCACAGCTGTGGACCTACTTTCATAGCCTGAGGCTCGCTCTGTAACCACCAGTACGCAAAATATGACTGAAACCGCGGGATTATAGTACAAGAGATATCAAACGAGCTGTCTGAAGCATGCCTTTGGCCGCGACGCAGAAATGTTAGTTTTCGCAATTTGAGTTTCTCAAACATGCCAGCGATCTACCAAGACACCACCAACTCTTCCGGAAGCAGCGCAAGTATTGACAACAGGCGTACCAAAGTAAATTCTCCTTATTCCCATCGCCTCGGAAAGTTTTCCAATAGTCGCACTCATGGCTCGCAAGCAGCATCCCAGCTGGACACATCGGGTGGCTCCCATAGTCTTGGCTCAGGGACGCCTCGTTCCGTTCCAGGGATGGCCTGACAGCAGCCATCATCTAGACGTGAACTAGATCCGTCGCCGGTGCACTACCAAACTCTTAGAGGCTATAGATCAAAGGCTATTCTTTCTTTTTCATCCTCAATCACTTTCCTTTCTATCAATCACGCGTGAGCGGAATCCGGCCTTGATCATCACCAGAAGATCTTCTCGGAACGTTTTCCATCTATTAAGACGGGATCTACTAAGGAAACATCAACCAGTCCGTTAAACCACCCTCCAATCACAATAACCTCCACATCCAATTCGCACATCTCTGCGTCGCGGGTCTAAAAGAGATCAACACGCCCGACAACCATCGCGCAGACCCTTGAGATCCAAACTTCACCGAAAAGACAGTTGTACAGAAACAAAATGGCAACTAAGCAATTTAACACCATTCTTTCTCTTCCAACCAAAAGTTCCTCGCAACGCTCCGTGAGAGGTGGCGATTCTCAGTCAAAACATTGAAACCCAGACCATCACACTACGCCATGGCCGTCATCACATCCATGTTGACCAGCACCATAAAGCAACTCCGCACTTTACGTAGGCAGTTTAGAGTTTGCGCCTTCAAAATAGAGTTCTGTCCCCGTGATAAGACTCCACAGCCTATCTGCACACTAAACACCACCACGTTCGCTTCCCTTTCACTCACACAAACCAACATCAGCCCCACCATCGGCACTACACCCAGATATCTGAGTACTAACAGTTTCTCTCTCCCCCACTCACATAAGCCCAACACCAACACCAACATCTACTAATCAACGTCCCATCTTACACCTGCTAACTAACTTACCATCCTGTCTATCCTCGTGCCTTCAAGCTTCATTCCGAGAATTTACCCTATCCCAAGTTCCAAGCCCAGTACCAACAATCACCCACCTACCCGTCTAGCACCCATCAGCCACCACGCGACGTATGTCCGTCCGCCCGTCCATCCTTCGGCCGCACGGCACGAACAACCCCACTTTTTCCCATCCCACCCAACGCCTGTCGTCTGTCGCATAACGCTTAACACGGGGTAAATCCACAATCATCATCAGTCACCGAAGAAAAGCAAAAAGCCCAAACTTTCTTCCGATCCCAAGAAGGAAAAAACTCTCCACTTTTATCCACTTCCCTTCCCGGCTGAAAAAGCCGATTAGCTACAAGTATCAGCCCACCCACGCAGGTCTGCACTGCACAGACAGCGTTTGTGAATCATGGCTTTTCTTTCAAAAAGCAAACGTGGAAACGGAAGCAAGGAAGCAAATAAGATTGATATGATGAGTAACGCGCCACTTTATTTGCTATATTTCCTAGATTAGATATCAACCCCGGCCCCTTTTTCTCCCGCGGCTTTTGAGCCCTGTGAGGCCTGTGAGGCGTTTTAATGGGGGGAGGGGTGGAGACCCACTTTCTTCCGTGTCTGTGTGCTGTGGTTATGCGAGTGCGAGCCGTGAGAATTCATGTAGCATAATGATCATAGGACAGTGAGATTTGTAGGATTACCACATAATTTCGGATATGAACTATAAATGTGATGGATATAAGCCAAAGGCTGAACAAATGCGAAACCCCACATGTCGCATAACATAGAATTGAAGATTTTTAGCTAGACAAATATTAGATCCTGAAGTTCTTTTGCATAACGCATTCTGTCTTGATATACTATACATAATTGCCTATATACATACATACACACTTGTGGAAATCTGCTGCTAAGCATTGACATCACTTACATTTACTATTACACACACACACACACACACACACACACACACACACACACACCTAGGGTGAAATACTTGACAGCGGCGATAGTGAAGATAAACCCTGCTATTGTATTCACAAAAGGCGTATCTAGCGACTGCAGTAGCTTTTGTATGTACACTGGGACGTTACGTATTTCATGTCACCTTGGTGCATATAAACATCATCCCGGATCCCTCGTATCAAAGAACCCCCTACCCTCACCCCCCTCCAACCCCCTCCGCGGCAACAACTCCCTCAAAACAACCATAACGGTCTCCAACTCCGCCTCATCAGGTTTCCACAGCTCACGAATCTGCTCCCATGCGCGAATCGTCCTTTCAGGTTCTGTACAGCGCGCAAACGCCTTGAGTGCAGCGATAACCGCTAGACTAGATAACCAGGTACGCTCGAGCTGTTGATCTAGCGCTTTCAGGTACATGGTCCAAAACTTCTCTAGTCTAGAACTCGTCCAGGAGCTATATCTCACACCACCAAAGGCAGAGAAGCCGTGGAAGATGACAATGAAGACGGTACCGTCAAGAGGGACGGAGTTTAATTTCATTTCGCGGAGGAGTTCGTCGACGCGATCGACATTGCCGGCCGTGGCGGCGTAGTAGCGTATGAGGATGCCGTAGGTTCTAGAGTCTGGGGCTACAGGGGCGAAATCTTGAAGTCGCTTCAACTCGTCGTCTCTCCCTTCTCTGACGAGTCTGCGGGACTCTTCGCGGAATAAGAGACCGAGGGCGCGACGGTCGCGCCAGTTGCGGTTTAGGAAGCGGTGGCCTGGGGCGGGTGCAATGCGGGTGGCGTGGAGACGCTTCATGCGCTCGAAGACATGTTCGGCGGCCTGGGGTTCACCGGCGCGGATTAGAGAGGCAATGACGGCGTTGAGGACGACTGTGTCTACTATCTCACCAGCGGAGATGAGGTCCTGGTAGGCTTTTCGGACGCCGTTTCCGTTTTGTAGGACACCGTAGTAGTAGAGGAGGGTTACGCGCCAGTAGCGAAACATGGGGAGTTGACGGGCTTGCATTTCCTTCATGAAGCTTTCGGCTAGGGAATACCTCCCGGCTTTTACAGCAACATTGAAAAGGACGTTGAATGTTACGTCTCTGCCTTTAATGGCAGCTCGTTGTTCCATGTCCCGCCAGATATTAAGGGCGGACTGAAGCTCGTCTGAGCCTACTTTACCCATGGCGCGTCCAGCGAGGTGTATGGCTGATGTCCACTCTGACCGAATAATGTGTATGTGGGCAGTCTTCATATCGTCTAGTATAGAAAGAAAGCGCTGCATTGCGATGGGTGTGGGGCGTTGGACGATAGCGAGGTGGTGCAGTAGTGATCGTATAAGCCCAATGTTAAGATATACAACACCGGGTGACGGAAGCTTCTTGTACGTATCGAACACATCATCATGTGATGCTTCGTCATCCTCGAGCAGCTTCTCCAACTTCTTGATATGTACAGCATCCGCCTTGTCGCGGAGTGGCCAGGGTTCGTGGTCATCTCCTACGTTCCAAACCAGGCTCCCAGCGTCCGGAAGGTCTTCGTCAGGTCGCGTGTCCAACTCCATGCCATAGTAGTCCACCAGCGCCTGTAGCTCCTTCTCGGCAAAATTCTTAACTTTGTCGAGCGGTCCTTTACCCCCCACTCTTTTCTTGAACCCTCTGCTCTCGGGTTTGCGCCATGTGCTCTTTTGACCCCCTCTATGTAGCCTAACCGAATGCGAATCATGTCCACTCAATGTCGAAATTTGCTTTGCATGCTTGGGACATGAGCCCGCCCGCACCAAAGCCTGGATGAAAAAGGTGTCGAGGCGACTATGCGTCGTTGGAGGCGGGGCATCCTTTATTGCCTTGTTACAAAAGCTTCTTTTCGGTGAGATCCTCTCCAGCCGCGGGTATAGAAACGCGAGAAACGGTCGGGCGTGAGTATTGGAGACTGCGGAGGTCCGATCGAGGGTGCGGAGGAGGGACATGAGATTTCGAGCATCGTGTCAAGCGTCAACGCGTCTATACGTATTCCATTCGAGTTGTTGAGGGTTTCAATTGGCTACAAAAGAAGCTCACTGAAGAGCTCCACAGCGGCGCACGAGGTTTCAATGGTAGGTGGAGGGGTTGCGCGGAGGGAAGTTGACATTTGCTCATCCCAAAGATTTCCGCTTTGCGAAGTCTTGGCAAATTGCGGAGTTTGTGCGGGCATCAGATCGATACATGCACAACACCACGCATTGCGCCTCTCGCCCTATCGCGATACCTAGAATACCACCTACAATATCCCCCAATGCAATAGCAATTCCGACTGTAGATAAACTAAACCTAACCTCGCCCACTATGGGTCGCTACGACTTCCGCCCCCTCCGCGTCCGCCAGACGGCAAAAGCCCTCTTCGACGCAAAACGAGACCCCGTCCTACCCCAATGGTACGATGTACTCGGCAACATACCACCCGGCGAGACGCTCGCCCGCCCCGTCCTGCGCGTACCCAAGATGCGCAAAGCACGAAAAGCCAGCAAATTATTCAAACCACTCCCCATCGTCTACCCCGAAGATAAACTGCGATCAGAATTCTTCGGCGAACACCCCTGGGAACTGGCACGCCCGAGATTAGTCGTTGAGGACAGTGGAAACGACGCCAAGCATTATGATTGGAGTAAGATTGAACAGCCGGGCAAGCAACTGGATGGTGAGAGGTATGTCATATACAAACCCCACCCAAACAGCAAAATAAGGTCAAGATTATTAACAGTTTGGTTGATAGTGTCGTACAACGACAACTGTGGCTAATGAAACACGCCTCCCTCTCCAAAGCCTCCGCCTACGACCTCGCCCGCCGCGAGTTCTACAAACACCGCCATCTATCCGAAATCCGGCAACGAATCGCAAAAGAAGAAGCCCAACACGTGGGCGCTTACTTTGGTAAAGGGCCTCTGGAGATTGGAATGGAGCTCGAGGACCGCATGTGGGAGAACTGGAAGAACTGGGCCACTAAGCAGATTGATGATGAGCAGGCTATGCGCGCGCAGATGTTTAGTGGACAGCAGGATGAGGGGCTGGGTGCGGGCGCTGAAATGACAAATTCAGAGTATGATACTGCCGTGGAGGAGCTGCAGCCGGTTGTGCCGAATAATCCACAGGGGCAGAGGCCGATGGGCGGTGTGGTGGCGCATCCATGAGGGTGAGGTGGGGGTGGAGATGGGATATGTACATGTATGAATACTGTCACCGATAATGCCTGTGGTCTGAATGTTGTTTTCCAGACGACGGAGACATATGTTTTTTATTTTTGAATGACTGACATCACGCCTCTTTTGTGTAGATATCAGGCTTCGGAATCTACACAGTTCCTTCACGTCCAAAACTCCATAACCATTTCACATCCGGCAGAATCTCCATAAAACGCTCAAATCTGCCTAAAATATCATAATTTCATAACCCATCAACCATCCCTTATCTACCCTTCCCTATACCTCCCCCCGCACAACCCCCTCCACCGCCCAACATCCTCCTCCCTCCTCTTCCTCCTCGCAACCCCCCACCTCCTAACCTCAACCCACCAGATCAACGTCCAATAAATCGTACTCAGCAAGCCAAACCCCAATCCTAACCACACCATCAATACCACTCCCTTGCCCGGTAAAATTCTCAATCCCACAACCCCCACAACACCGCCCGCCACAGAAACCACTCCGGACACCAAAACACTGAGTATACCCGCCGTGAGGAAAATGAACGTACTGCCAAGGCATGGCCAGAGAATGTTGCAGTAAGCGAGTAAAGGCGAGTGTGGGAAGACGATTGCGGGGAGGGCGGACAGGGCGGATAAGGCCGTGCTGGCAAGGGCGATGAGGAGAAATGCGGTTAGGACGTGGCGGGTTGTTGAGAGCGATGTTGAGAGGGTTTTGAGAGCAGAGGTTAGGAGGGTGAGGGAGGGTGTCGATGCCGAGGAAGTTGCCGAGGTGGAGGCAAGGTATGCTGAGATTCCTGAGTGATGTTAGTTGAACGTGGGATATGTGAGGGGCGGGGATGCTACGTACTGTTATTTGCATAGTTGTAGGACTCGCAGTTTGCTATGATAATGGAGTTGGTAGTCGTGTCTGTGTAGCCCGAGCAGATGTTTTGCAGATAGAGGTAGTATATGTCTGATACCACTGCCTCCGGCGCCGCTCTGGCAGATGGTGTAACCGGCATTGCGTTGGGTTGCTGTGTTTGAGCGCGTTGCATCAAGACTGATGTATCCAACTGGGTAGTGTTAATTCTTGATACTGATGCTTCAAGTTGACTGGAAACCTACGGCAAGAAGATATTGCCCTCCAAACGTCGCACTCTCTTTGCCAGCCAGTACCAGCACTAGCATGAGCAAGAAGCTTGTGACGGAAAATGCAATGGGGAAGATTGCTGAAAACCGATATTTCATCAACACCCTCTTTGGTGTCACAGGCGGGGCAGGCAACGCCTTGTCTGTCGACTTTCGTAGGTCTCCGAGATCAGGATGGATGGATATTTTCTCCGAGTAAAAGGTGTCGCGTATCTGGTCCATGTTTCACGGATGGGAGCGACTCAGCGAAGCAGTGGAGAAGGATCGAAGAAAATGGATTGACGACAACGATGGTAACACACATGAGGAGACCAGCTCCGGGCGTTGGCGGTCCATTTCAGTCATGCGGAAACAGCCCCAATACAGCCATATGTAGATGATACCCACAGCATGACGCAACAAGGTATTCCTCTTTCCGTGAAAATGCCCCTTCTCACTTGTCTGAATATGCAAGGATGAACGCCGTTGGAACGTTGCAGTCGTGTGTGAATGACCTGTGAGCACGCGGCCATTCTCTGGGATCAACCCAGACTCACGCATTGCCCCAGATCACTCCCGCATTCACAAATTCGCGATGCAAAAGCAAAGTTGGCGATCATTGATCCTCTGATCGCCGACGGGCTGGGTCAAAGCGCCGCGTTGGTGAAACTGCTGTGGGGGTAGCAGGGACGACTCCACGCTCAAAACTCATCGGTATTGCATCATTTCCGTTGCCTCTGATACTGTCTTGCGCACTCTATCGTTGTTTCGTCTTGCCTCGCGTCGGATGTACTGTAATTGATGCCTTGTTCCTGGGGAGATGATGAGCGTCGAAATAGCACGTGCTCGAAATGTCCCGATTGGCTCGGAAGGCGTGAAACACCAAGCCGACGATCGCGGCTTCTCCCCATTAGGGCGCGAACTTGTTGAGCAGAGGTGTGATACTCTTTGAATCTTGTTCATCGTTGCTTGTCATTTCACGGTTGTCGTACTGAGGCATTCGGAACGCGGAGCCAGTGCTGCCATAGTCATAGGGCTGTTGCTGGTGAAATTCCTCGGAGGGTTGCATCTGAAGGTTTTGGAGCTCGGAAGGTATGCCTCCCTGATTTCAGTCAGTCTGGGATCTTCACCACTGACTCGGACAAGCTTACCCAATTATAAGGCATTGCGAAGCCATCCAGATCCATCGACATGTTGCCAAGATCGAATGCGTGACTAAGAGAGCCATGGCCCAAAGAGAAAACATCAGAGCCAGGAGCAGCGGGTGACATGTCATTGAAGTCAAAGGACGGTGTAGGAGAGGTAAAGTTCATCTGGTCCCTTCCCAGATTCACTGCATTGTCAGGTTTTTTTATGATACCAATGCAGAAGGTCGTGGGCGACTCACTGTGTGGAGAACCGTTCACCTGTGTTGTGCTGTTCTCTGCTTTACTAAGAACAAGCTTCACAGCGGCGGCAACCTTGAACGCCTCCTGAGATTTTCTGCTGGCTTTGGTCCATATCGCGTATGCAGACCGCAAGGTTACGATGATGTCTTCGCGGGTGGGCGCGTCGCCGTCTAGTTGCAGCTCGTCTCTTACCAGGTGAGCATTTTGTGGCATTGGAGAGACCAAGTCTTCGTCGAGATCAAGGATCAGTACTGTCGTGGCAAGGAGGAAGTCTTGCGCGACGATAGCCGACATGTACCAGCTCACGGTAGCTACACGCCATACCTCCAAACCCAGTTTGCCACCGGGCGTCAAACCTCTGTCAAGCATACGCTGAAAACGTAGCATCTCCATGGCAACATTGAGACATACCCTTCTCGAGTAATCATACTTTGCATCGGTTCGACCGAGCTTGAGGTATGGCCGATGCAGCATTAGCCTGGCCTTCAAAATAGCCAATTCCAAATACAAACGACGCATCGACTCTGGTAAGGTAGTAGCATCGCCATTGTCAAGCACAACAGGCTTGGAAGCCTGTGGAATGCTATCGCGGATGTGTCCCAGCGTTGTGTCGATGTCCATGATTTCTCGGTAGGTTGGTTGCGATGTGCTGTTCATCATGTCTACGATCTGAGCTTGCTGCCGACGAATCCTAGTAAGAAAGATGGAGTACAACAGCTGCGTCAGCTCTATTTCCGGTCTTGAGGGCGGTAGTTCTGAAATGTCTTCATGGAGGTCATCCTCGTGTAGGTTACGGGGCTCCTGGGTATCGTACATAAATGGCTGGATGATTCTTGGTAGTCCAACTTGCGACGACGTAACGAGATCTAATGACATGATGAGAACCCACTTGCGCCGGCGGAGCTCTCCCCTGAACGGCGATATGTTTGGAAACCTCGATGCGTCTCTGTGGTACCCCATCCGAAAAGCCAGGCGTGTGAGCATACCCACGAGAATATACATGCTGAACTGAGTGTCTTGTGTTCGCAAGAATTCGGTACCGAAATAACATAGAACTGTTTCAATCGTGAAGGGAGGGCATTTGGTGTAGTTTGCGAGAATCATACACTGTACAACCTTTTCACGGTAGAAAGTCATACGCGCCGAATGTAGTGTCAGGTTTGTGTCAGATGGTAACTCTGATCCGTCGCGTCCGTGATTGTCTATTGCCGCTTTGAATCGGAACCCGATGGCGAGAACAGCATAGAGAAGTCCAATCCACATGACGGAAGTTTTAAACGGCTGGGCCCAGAAGTTTTGATACTTTGCGGCTGTTAGTGAATATTTCGTATTGCAGAGTACGAAAGCCTTACCTGTTTGAGAAAAGTTGGCTTATGCAAAATGGCTGCAGTAATTAGTGGATATATCCTTAGCGTGGTCTGCTGGCTTACTTGGATGCGTGTCCATCGACTGGAAAAAAGTTTCTAACAAGTCGTCTGCTTCGCTCTTTGGTGGCAGAGAAGCAAGTATCTGCTCTTTGGTGGCGTGTGTATGCCGTCCAAATAACAACTCTGGACCAGGGATGTCTTCATGTAGTTCATCTTTTGGACTGGGCGATTCAGGTATATGATCAAGGTGTTCACGAAGCTCTGAGATCTGAAATCTGTTCAGAAGCAGGAATTTTATCAGGTAAAAGGGAACATACCCCATCGAGAATGCTCGTCCAGTGGCCGCTGTTGGAGTAAGTCGTTGTCTCGCCTTGGAACTTCACACGATCCGGAGTACCGGGTAAATCGGCATCATGGTTGCCATTGTGATACTGGTATTGCGATATTGTGGACGCTGCAGGACTGGCATGATGGATATCATTTCCACTTATCAAGTTGGTGACCAGCTTTTCGAGTTGATTGATCCGGTCATGTACACTATTTGGTACTTTAGGCTCTTTTGAGGGTGGGGCGCTTCGAACGTATGCGCAAGATAGCGAAAGTCCGCGGTCGACACAGGTTTTGCATGGCTGAAGGCGATCACATTTCAACCTCCAGGTTATTAGTATGCGCCTATAACAGGTGAGTGGGGGCTTCACGATGCTCACTTTCGTCGCCGACAAAGAGTGCAGCTCAATATGGGCTTGTCTCTCCTTCTGCTCGGAGGCACAATTCTCATCCCATGTGGATCTTCACTCATACTCACTCTGGGTCAAGAGGTGCAAAAAAAGAAAAGTAGATTTGAATTATCTGGTACGCGTGTTGGCAGTGGTGTGAGGCTTCCAGGCTGCATAGGTAGGTAACTAAGACGCCACATGCGTCCCACTGTCGGGGGGTCGGTTGTTGTGTCACACCGACGCTAACACTGCTTTCAGCTTTGACACCCAGGGGCAGTGCCGAGGTTCCTTCGGTGATCTGATCAATATGTTTAGTACATCCAACTGACATAGCACTCGAAGTACTCTTTCTTTTCTTCAATTCATTACCCAGAGGTTGATGCTCTTCTTCGGCTGCTAATACTAGATCTCTTCAAAGTGAAGCCAGAATCACAAGCAGACAGTCTCGGCGGCACCCCGGTGCAACGGCCTCCCCCAAACTCCTTCACCGCATCCATGCAGTCACAACAGTTGAGGAGTCGTAACAGTTGGCCAGGCTGTCTTTAGTCTCGGCCGAGGTGCTTCACATATCGGACCTTCGTAATGTTGACGAATCACGACCCCTGGAACAGCTCCGACTCTTTGATCACCACCGTCCTCCTCTACAATGTGCTAAAATAGATATGCGAAGTGCGCCTAGTGGGCAGGAATATCGATGTGTCCTGATTGTTATCATCATCCCGTTCTGTGAACACGAAGATGTGACACACGAACAGACACCATGGCTTCAGTTGTGATACTCCAGGTCCGCACTTGCCGAACAACCCCCATACCTCTGTAGCGCAGACATGCTTTGAATACATCAACATAAGCACGATCAGACATGACGGCGGATGATCACCGAAAGCATACCTCCCTTAATATCCTCTCTCTGACCTGCTGCCACCAAGTTCCCCCGATAGCCTGCCAATCTTACCTGTGTACGTTAGACAAGTTTCTAAGCAAGCACATGCCTGAGTAAGTTTGCAATTGCGAAGTTTAGTACTTCGCTGTAAGAGGGATGATTGGGCTTGCGGATGGCATTTAAATGTGAAGCATCAACTAAGAGGCGAAGGGATAAGTGGTGAGTGAAGTTACAATAAACCGATATTCAATATAATATATACAGCCGAAAAACATAGACTTCTCGTGTGTCTGCTCTGACTATCAATCTTCGGTTCAGGACGTCGAGTAGGTCGGCTTAAGAGATGGGTCGGCGTTCTTGACCAACATCTGAACGTAAGAGTCGAACCAAGCACCAGCGACCGGTGCACCAGCAAGACCGCATGCTCCATCACTTTCACCACCCGGCTTGATCCATACAATTGAGTCGACATTGGTGTTGTTCTGAGTAGCCCCAGGGAGCAGTCCGAAGCCAGCTGGTGCAACGTTGCACCAGTCGCCCCACTCCTTCCGAGCACCAGGTAGAGCGACCCGACCCTGGTCAATGATAAAGTTGCCGGGTAGACCCTCAGCCTCCATGTATGTGGCAAGCGATGAGGCATAGTGGCTTTCGTCCCAAGATGGCGAGTATTCGGTGTAGTTTTCACGTACCTTGGCCTGGAAGGGGTTGTAGTTGGATACGTTCGTGGAGTAGCCCCGGATCTTGGCTGCAGGGTTGAGCTTCTTCGCCATATTGACAACCCTCGCGAAGACCTCAGCAGTAGGCTTCAGGTTGTCAGCCCAGCCCAGCCAACCTCCGTGAGCAGCGTCCATGTATAAATGGACATTGGGAAACTGAAGCTTGGAGATTGCGTAGGCGATGCCCTCCTCGTATATTGGGGTGGCGGTCGCGCAAAAGGGAACATTCTGATTGGTAACGGCGTTGCCCAAAGAATCTGGCTCAAGCACAATGGCGAATTCGAGATCCCTGGCCTGAGATACGAGCTTGGCATACTGGTCGACGAATTCCTTCTTGTAGATGTTCAGACCGTCCTTTGCGGAGCTGAGCTCACCGGCAGACTCGCCAGCAGAGCAATCGCGGTCGGGGAGATTGTAGAGGACCAGACCCACAATCATTGGCTTGAGACCCTTCTTCTGCTTGCGAGCCTCCTTAATGGTAACGGTAATGTCTTGGAGGCCAGCACGTGAAGTGATCCATGTGAAGGTGGATACTTTCTGGGCTACGGTACGCGTGCGTGCTGCGTTGAGGCTATCGTTTTGTGCAATAAACGAAGCAATGGTCTGATCAAGCTTCTTCGAGTAACTTTGAACGACATAACGATCCTTTCCAATCCAAGGGTTGACTGTAACGTTGCTTGGTAGCGGTGGTGCTGGTGGAGCAGGTGGTTTGGGAGCTGCAGACACAGCGCTGGCGAGGGCGGAAGTCGCCAAAACGAACTGGGTGAGTTGGACCATGATGAATGAGAAGCTCAAGAGTTAACAAAGGATCTGGATGGTACAAAGCAAAGGTATACAGCTCTTTATAGGCGTTGTGATCACCACCGGTACCATGTACCTTGTCCAAGCCGCTTGGTACCGCTGAGGCCTGATTCAGGATATGTTTTGAGACAGTAGACTTGATCAACGGTCCCGTCGGGCCGTGGACCCTTGTCATTATCACTGTGAATGTCCGAGTGGAGTGGGTGCTTGCTGTGAAGCATTGGCTTTTCGCATACTGTACACAGCGCCTTGGAGACGTTGCTGTGGTAATCCGACGACCGTATGCACTTCCCTTTGCTAGGCGCATGCAATGAACCGTTGGCCATCCCAAAGTAGTGTGTAGTACTGGGCATGGTATATTAGCCAAGACAAATTGTACCGGGGTAATACCCGGGCCGATAATACATGTCTGTTGTTTACCCGGCTCGCTACCTCTGCACTACATGAAACGCCACCTCGCAAGCGAGTGTCCCATGTGTTCATAAATGAAACAACTTTCTGGATTGGTCGAAGCGGTCGGGGTAGCGCCTTGTATATTGTTCAGAGAGTGCAGTGGCGTTCTTGGTTCATTTCGAGCTGCAGATGATCATCTGCATGTACTGTATGGAATATTCGTTGCATGTTCTAGCGCGAGTGCCAACGGCTGTGCCCTGAGGCTGAGTTGGATCTAGATACAGCAGATGCATGGCATCCAAGTATGCCAACATTCGATAATTCTTGGAAGCAAAAGGAGGAATAGTGGTGTATAGGCGCGCTCTAGTTTGAGACCCAGAACGGTTATAGTGTACAAAACCCGCTTTCCGTGCATCTACTATGCTCCTATTACGACAGAATATTACACCAGAAGACATCAGCAGCGTATCAGATGAGAATACGACCGTGCTAATAAGATCGATGTGCGATCAAGACGTGCGATCAAGACGTGCATGTGGTGTGATGCCCAAAACTCTCAGTGCGGGGTGTTCTTTGCGCATAGCCCGACAGGCTCAAAAATGGCACAAGTGTTCAACGCGTGAAGAGGATGGATTTCGCGGGAAGAGTAGTCAAGTTCAATGGTAATGGCCAGAGAGAAACTGAAAAGGAACTAGCGCGTGGGGTAAACAATCTGACACAAGTGTGGAACTAAATTAGCGTCATGGCGGGGCTAGCGAGAGCCTTCCACAAGCATGTGAAAGAAAGACTTTCATCCAACATATCATTACATCAACATCGTTAAAGCTTCAGACTTGTATTTTCACATCTCTAGACTATAATCGTAATGATAATGGTAATTCTATTGCTCTAGACCCTAGAGATGGTTCGGCAGATGACTGAACCTCCGAATTACCGTATTCCCTTGATTACATGTATATAGAATCGCTGAAATGCAATGAATAGTATCGTAGTTACACATTGTCCATACATGTAGGCTCGCTTTATATCTACTATTCCATAGGCCGGCCTGCGCCTTCACACTACATGAGTAAAAGACCCCAAACACAATGATCAAATTTGAATCTATTCTAGGACCTAGAGCAATACATTTCAACTTGTCATGAGAGAAGTACACTACAAAGATCTTGGACCACAGGATCGTAACAAAACAGACCACCTATCAGAAGTAGGGCGAACAAGCGGAGGTTTGACATTGATGGCCAAAGGTAATGACGCGATATTTTCAAAAAGAATTCGTTCTTCTAATATTTTCGCTGCCTGAAATCTCTGCGAACGCGTATGCAGCTTGGTATCGCTAATAAAATTGACGGGTTGTACATATCATGCACTCAGTGATGGTAAGGGAGTGATGATTTGTCATTCACACGTATTCCGCCACTGCGCCGTGATCTTTGTTTCACTCTACACGCAAACTCTTCCCTTACTGACCCCGACAAATTCTGACCCTAGTTCAACTCTCACCTGTGAAACACACAACCCGGCCTCCCGACCACCCCAACCACGATCATGTCCATTGGTAGCCACTACCAAAATCTCAGAGTGAGCCGCTCAGCTTCATCATCTGAGATCGATGCCGCACATCGTCTGATCCTCTCGCAAAACCATCCGGATAAAGTGCAACAACTTGGCCCGTTCGCACGGAGTCTGGCAGCGCAACGGGTCCATCTAGCCAACGCGGCGTGGGAGGTACTCTCAAACCCGACAAAACGGCGCCATTACAACATGGAACTAGCCCATGAGTCTGAACAACAAGAGTCCTGGAGGAGACAGCGATATGCAGGTTCTACTCCCCACAAGCCTAAAGCAACTTCACAAGGGATGGATGATTCTACTGCTTCTTCGGAATCTGAAACTCCCCCCGAGGATATACATATCGACGAAGAAGATGGTGAGGCAGACGACGAAGCTGATGACCCACACTGTATAACTGAGTACCTGAGAGCCGAATACCGCTACGGCAACACGCCCATCGCTACCGACGTCGATGTCACCATCAGCGGCTGGCGCATCCGCCTACGCATCTCCTCTAAATTCCGTTTCCTAAACGACCTTACTGAGCTTTCCGATCCTAGAGACGACTCACAGATGGTAGGCTTCGAAATCGGTCTCCAACGCGCCCGCGAAGTGCACAGTAACCTAGAGAACGTGATCCCCGAACTCACCATAGACGTGGAAATTATCCCTAGCAAATTGCGTGTAAGCGGATTACAGGCTCTACTACGGGAGCTTACTTCAGGTTCCTGCAGCCTTGTTGTAATGATCACTGCAAATCGTAGCGTATGGCACGAAATGCCTTGGACGTTTGGTCTGGACTTCGATATGAATCATTTGGTAAAGGGTTCGTTGAAGCGCGGTACTTGTACGATTTTTAGTATCGATGAGCCGGCTGAGCATCTGCAAGCAGGGCAAGGACTTGATACCCCGGAGTGCGTGTTGAAGTGGGACAAGGCGTTGAAAGCAAACAGATTCCATCATCTCGGTGCCGCTCGAGTGGGAATATGTGACTACGGTGGTGTGGAGATGTGGCGGCTGTCAGCTGTAGGGTATAGAGTGGGGTTTTAAGGATCAGTTGGTCATATTGGCGTGTCGTTTTCAAACCAAATGACTTCGTTCAGTAGTATTGAATCATTCGAAGTTGTTCGAGCTTGGGGACTTGAAGCTCCTCAATCTGTCTGGGTCGACCACACTACGACAATGCAATGGAGAGTCAGCTACATTCAAGATTAGGTAGCAAAAAAACAGGTATAGGAATCAAAATATATGACAAAGTAATTATCGAGAGCCCACTAAAGCACAGCTCTCACCTCCCTAAACCAACGTTTCCACCCCTCCAACATCATCCCATCAATCTTCTCAACATTCGGCAGTCTTAAACAACATACACTCCGCCTCCCTCGCCTCGCCCGCTCCTTTAGAAAAGCATGCAGCCTAAATGTCTTGGGATCCAGCCTATCAAGCCACCGCGGCAGCGTAACCGGCTCAGCCTCCAGCCCAAATCGTGTCTGCATCGTCTTGTACAGTAAGTCCCAAGGCGCAGGATTAGGATGCGTCATGTTATACACCTGGACAGTGTCGTTTCTAGTCTGCTCACCAGTCAAGTTCGCAATACCCTCCATGAGCGTGTCGACGGGGATCCAATCTAGAGCGCTCATGTGGACTGGCCAAGCACCGAGTTTCCGGGAAGTCTTGAAGGTGACCCAGAGCCAGCCTTGGATGGGCCAGCTGGTAGATCCAGCAGTGGGCGATGATATATCGGCAATCTGGCCTACGCTTATGATGGCAACATGTAGATTGGAGTCGGAGTGTGCGCGGGTGAGGAGCTGTTCGGCGATATGTGTACTCTTTCCGTAGCCGCTTTCTGTTTCGTATTTGATGCAATCGAAAGTAAACCAACTGGCCTTTTATCCAGCACCCAGAACCTAGAATTTGCAAAATCTATTGATAACATTTTGATCGCCGGAGACCACTGCCAGGTTGTTTCCAAACTACGTGTGGGGATGAGAGGTTGCGATGTAACCCTTCAGTGTGTACAAGACCATCTGCTATTGTGTCTTGTTAAATCCACCCTCTTGGCTGCGGCTCCTTGCACATTGCCAGCTGTTCCCTGGCTACCAATTGCTTCAGAAGGGATATCTACTACGAACACTGACCAGAAACATGAGGCAGCCGCACACTGCACCGTGTGGTGTATAACGTGAAGATCTGAACGAAGCGTATATTTTCCGTGATCACCATTCCATGAAAAACAAGTGGCGTTCAGCCGTCGGGGGGATAACCTGTGTCCTTGACACGGAGAATGAAATGTATTCGTTTTTTTCTTAGGAACCGCGTCGCCACGGCTGAGGGGTGTTGGTTTTGGTTGGCGATTGACCATGCCGGTGGGGCTGCAGTGATTGACCAGTCTGTGATGCTGTCTTCGCCGCTGTGGCGTAGTAGATCAACATTCTCTACTCGGTGCAAAGTCTAGATTCAGAGACAGGCTTCTTCTGCACTGATAGACGTTGATGGGACCGGGAACACTGATGTTCGTTGATAGACGTGGCTTGCAGGTAGTCATTGCACATGTGGAAGACAAGTGAGGAGAATGGTACCATGTCGAGTTGTTACATGCGTCGTGAAATGTCTAGCGACGACCCTGACCCTATGAAAGACGATGTTTCCAACATCTATCTAAGCACTGTAAGACACAAGTGTTAGTATTCCAAGTTCCTTTGACCAACAGTGTTGGTGTGGTGAGAAAGGGAGGGTCTAGAAGGCTTGCACTTGAGGATACCCACATAGCCAAAGCTAGCTCCAGTACCTCCACCAAGTCTCCGACACTCCGCATATCTTCCCCCACAGTGGGGCAATCCTCGCTGCATCAACACGCCCTCGGAGAGCATGGAATAATCGACATTAGATTGCGAGTCAGCACAGGGTGTGAGATAGGAGATGCCCCGCGTACATCTTCCGTTCCCCACGTTCTCCGCACCTGGCTGCCTCGGCCTTCATACCATGCCGTTTTGCAGGGAAGTATCATGTCGCTCGCTGGGTATCTCGAAGACAATAGCGTAGACCCATCGAAACTTCGTCGTGACAATCCCCAGTAGCCTCACACCCCCTTCTACTACCCCTAACGCGTTCGACATGGCGCTAGGCCCATATACCAACCTACGCGTCACCCGCCACGACTCCGTCTTCGTCCTCACCCTCGCCAAAGCGCCCGAAAACCGCATCAACGTCGCCTTCGCCCAAGAAATAATACGCGCCTTACGCGACATTGAGCGAGAGCTCGGCCCCGATTCAGACGGGTGTGTGATAACAAAAGGCGCCGATCAGAAGTTTTGGTGCACAGGGCTGGAGCTCGATGAACTCGAAGCGAACCCTTTTGCCAACAACGATGGCTTCTTTCCGCTACTCGCCACGCTCCTCGATTACCCGTTTCCGACTATTGCGTTATTGACGGGACATACGTTTGGGGGCGCGTGTCCATTCGCTTTGGCGCACGATTATCGTATTATGAACTCTGAGCGCGGGTTCTTTTCTATGCCGCCTGTGAATCTGGGGGTTTCTTTCCCCGGGATAGGGTTTCTACCGAGGTTGAAGCTGGGGCCGCAGGTTGCAAGGAAGATGCTGCTTGAGGCACATCGCTGGACAAGCAAGGAGGCATATGCGGATGGTATCGTGGATGAAGTTGCAGCGCCCAAGGAGATGCTGGATATGGCACTGAAGAAGGCGAGGGAGATACAGGGCAGGGCGAAGATGGGCGTTTATAGCGTGCTCAGAAATGAGCTATGGGGCGAGGCAGCTGAGAAGATTAGGGGTATATGTTATGTACATGGTACGAGGGTTACTTCACCTGCGAAGGCTAAGATGTAATCCTTTTCTGTTAGCACATCTTTAGCGCATAATACCTACCTAACGCATGATCAGTCCATCAACTCATGCGGTAATGAAAGTGACTGGTCTTATTGTGTGCAGATTATGGTTTCACAAGTAGATGCGGCGGACAGACAGCGTACAAAATATGCGGGCATTATTGCCGATAGTTATGGTGTGTTACTCATATAATACCCCAGCTAGCAATACTGTAATAGGAAATCTGGACCCAAGAGCATATGTGCTGTGAAGACATCAAAAGCTAGTAGAAGTAAATACTATGTATGCTTTAGGCCAGAGTTCGGTACCGACACTGGTGGTACCATGGTACAGTCGACCCGAGGTACCCCCCTCCCCCCCAAACTACCGCATCGAAAAGTCCTCAAATGATTACATCGACGCAAAAAATTTGCGATCGAAGAGAGCCCCTAGCCTTAGGCCGGTGTCTCCTGCAGGCTATTTCAGTGATGAGGGGAAACCGAAGTCGCTGGGCTTTAATTCCAAGCAGTCATCAACCCGCTTATTTATTGTGGCTATTTCAGCACTGATTTGCAAACAGCCCATCGACCCACAGAAAGGTATCAGAGGGATCTCCTTGACCTTGGCTGTTAGTGTGCTTTGGTACAAGCCAATGAATGGGGGGAGTCTCGGATAAGGGAATATGATAGACAGAAGATCACGTGCATTGAGTTCCCTGAGTAGCAGTCCTAGGCCCTGCGCCTTGCAATGTTTACTCTTGTAACAAGGTCTTTCAGGTTCCGAAAGTAGCCGGTTGATGAGATTTTTGATACCGTCCAGCAGCGTATGGATAGCGTTGCACCGTATGCCATCAAGCTTACAGACTAACAGTTTCAGTGTGCATTTTCGGAAACTTGACTTGTCTGCATACGTACATTGTGCCTTTGAATCAAGTGGAAGTTCTAGCGATTGTATGGGTGTGCGAGCGAAGTGCAGTACTGTTGTCGCTATATCCTTGAATTGATTCCAGTCCTTGAACCGTGCAGCCAGAAACATCCAATATACTGAGTTTTCGCAATAAGTTTTCGGGATTGGCGACAGATTAAACAGGGAGCTTGAGGGCTCTTTGAACTGTCCCCACCACTTCTCTGCATAAATTTTGAGCACATCTCCCATCTGGTAGTAGTCGGCGACAACGAATATCTGAGCGAATAGTCCCGGCGTAATCTTTTCGGGTATAGACTTGACTTGCTGATGTGAAATGCTGAGTAGCACCCCGATGGCCCTTGTGCTCCAATGCTGCGCTTGAACATGATACAGGTTGTCTTCTTGACATGGAACTGTCTCACTGTAGTCCCGTTTGAACATGTTATCAAAGTAAGCCGATACGATCCGCAATTGTCGCGATGAGACAAGGAACCGGACTTCCTTCGCTCCTTCGCTGGTAGATTCTTGAGCATTGCCACGTGCCCCAAATAGTCCCAATTCCTTGATTAAAACATCTTCATCTCTCCATCCCAGAAGTGCGGTATCCGGATCCTTGAGAATGATGATCGTATCGCCATTAGGATCAACCGTGATGAGCTGCGTTTCTCCAGTCATGACCGAGTGCGTCTCCAGAAATTGCTGATAATATCAAGACTGCGAGTGTGGAGATGGACAGCTAAGATGAAGTTGGAGTTCATTAGTTAGCGTGCCAAGCCATTGGCGGTCCACTTGATTCAGATTAGGTATCGTATGCACTACGCACTCTTTCTTAAGCTGTACGCCTTGATTTCGCTGTACATGGAGACGGATGATTCTCTATTCACGTATGCTGCTGTCTTGCAAAAAAAATCTCTGGAATTGACTGAAAGCAAATGAGCACGCCGCGTCTTATTCGATATATTGTCCTGAATACTTACATGTATACATGAAGCGTTTAAAACCTCACTAGGAGCGCAAATGATGACTTATGTATGAAATATATGAATATGATCGCTTGTATCTTATCGCGTTACGACAACTAGCAGAATAATGTGTACCGAAAATAGCCACACACACACCGTGTTGAATATAAGGCTGATATTAATATTACATGGAAATAGCGAATACCCTTGTCACAGGGTGTCGCAGGGTATCCCTAGTACCCACCAGCGGTGAGAGTAGGTCTGACACTGGTCTGCATGGTGCTGCTTGCCTTTGCCTCCCCCGTGCAAGTAGTGCTGGAAGGAGAGGGCTGCTTGGGGTGGTACAATCCCCCGGTAGGGTGGTGCAATCCTCCAGAAGGTTGGTGTTTGAATGGCCACTTGTCGGAAGGACGAGGACGGCCATAGCCATAGCCGTCACCCTTGTGTTCATCTGGGCTGCCGGTGCTGCTCGGGCGGAGAGGAGCTGTGGGGCGCGTAGAGTTTCCGGTGGGGCTTGGAGAGGAGAAAGTAGAGTCTGCATCCGTGGGCATGGTGGATGGGGAGGCCGAGGAGGTGGTGGTATCGAGTGGTGTACGGGTCTTTTGAGCCTCCTCCTCAGTGCAAGTTGTTTCGATGGGAAGAGGAGTGGTTGGCACTTCTGGGGCTCCAGTCGGCATGATGGCGGGTGTAGTAACTGGCATGAGAGATGAGGGTGTTGGGAGAGTGCTGGGGAAATAACGCTCCGTAAACGTCTTTGCGTCCCAGTCGCTGGACCACGAGAAGGTGTACGACACAAAAATTGCGGGCTGGTCATCGTCGGCTGGAATCGGAGCTGAAGGGACCGGAGGAGCAATAGTAACCGAAGGTGTCATGCTAGCAATGGTCGGCGCAGAGTGAACTGGTTGCGAAGCTACCTGCGTAGGGCCATATCCCTCGTCGATCGGGGTGGGAGATGCAGTAAGGGAAGTACACGAGCTGGTGGTCTTCACGCTGCCTTCTGCAAGCGGAGCCGCGACGACACTGCCTGCAAGCAGGGTGATGAAGATAGTAGATTGCAACATAGTGCAGATTGAGTGACGTAGAAAAGAATATGGGAAAGAACGTACGACCTGCGGAACAGAATCAAGTCAAGCAATCGACCAAGGGAAGAGCGAATCTCCTGAAAATCGGTAGAACAACAAGCATCATGTTCTCGTTGGTTGGCGCTCTTATATACGCGGGTTCCAATGAAACAAACCATCCGCGCTGGGGCCTTAGGCCAGGTACCTGACGAACCGCGCCAAAAGTAAATCACTACGGAAACATCTTCTTGCCGCGGATAGTGTGGAGAGAAACGGGTCCATACCAAGGCCCAAGTCTGCGCTGCGAGTGGTCGAAAGGATATGAGGCGCGTGCCGTCAAAGAGCAAGCGTGATTACGGGCGTTTCGGAGTGTTTCGCCCAGCCCAGGCTAGCGGAAAATCAGCGCGCCAGCACGTGCTGCAAGCGGCTATGTCGTGATCTAGACCGATTTTGTCTTTGCTAAGGCGAGCGCGAACTATGTATGTTGCATTGCTCCTATATGTCGCAGAAAATAGTATCAATAGTTGTGATGGCATCATGGCTCTTCTGCCCTCCTGAAGTCCGACCCAACCCAACTCGTTCACCATGAATCTACCTTTGCGCACGATATCTACTTTGACCCTAAACGTCCTGAAAAACTGCAGCGGTGCCTTGTACAGCCCCGTAAGCGCAATATTCCTTCCTAAGCATATCCTCGCGACATGTCCAAAAGCCATGATGAACCTGTTATACTCCTCTGCTTTCTCCTCGTTCTCTAGCCCCCGTTCGGGACGAAAGCCGCAGGCATCAGGGCCATAGACGTTTTCGTCCCGGTGCACAAGCCAGGGGTTGCAGGTGGCTGCCGTACCCGGCGGAGCGTAACGACCATGTAGATGCATGCCAGCTGCGCCCACTAGGCGGGGAAAGTGTTCGGAGCGGATGGGAGGCTATACAATATCAGGCGCTGCATGTCAACAGGGATGATTGGCTTACTTCCCGCATGGTTTCCTTGACACACGCGATGTAATACGGACAAGTTTCCATGACCTCATTGTATTGCGGCATAGGGCTTAACTTTCCATCTTCACTGACGCTCTTGCATCAACCTGGTAAACAATATGAAATTAGAAATGAGGTGGGCGACCATTGCTTGGAGCGTTGTACCCGTCGTATCGGCCCCCGCGAGCAGCACAAGGAGAATCTCAGTTTTGATCCAGTCTTCCACCCTCGCGTTCAGGAACTTTTGCAGTAAATCCACACTTTCGAGCTTCCCGGTCTGAAGATTGTCTACATGATAAGATTGTCTCGGAAGCGCATCAGCATCCCATTACAAGAATCGTCTTCTGGTTTCGCCACGAGATACTTTCCACCGAGCCACGTTTTTTTCGCCAAGTCTGTAAAGGGTCAAAGGTAAGCAGTTCATGGATTAAACTGTCAATGTGTGAACCGCGCTCAATCAAACCGATGGGGGCGCCAAAGCCTATGTCCGAAATGATATCATATGCCATAAAGATTGCCTATTTTGGTGTACATCAGCTTGTTTCGTCATCGTCGTGCACAGGACGCAGACGTGCCCAAGGCGCAAAGTCAAATTTCTTGCCATCCCCAAATAGTCCGCCCAGTCGATCAATCCACTTTCCCTTGGTTAATCATGTCACACTTCATGCTGATAGTGGCCTGTTACTTGTCCTATCGAATCAGATATCACCATGTTCAATCTTGTACTATCAACCGCTTGAATCTGGTCCTGCCCTAGATAATGCTCCAACTGTATATGCAGATGGGATGGATCACATCTTGACTACAGAGCTACTACAGACAACAGTCTACACGCCCATTACCCACCTATCTCACCAAGTAAACTTTGCAATCCCAGCATTCCAACATGACCATAGATCCACCCCTCCAAGTTCATCGTCGCGATCAACGAACTTCAGAGTCCGTATTGTTTCTCTTCCACACGTTTTTCCTGAACGCTTGCTCTGATTATGGATCTCCTTCACAGTCCTGCCAGTCCAGATGTTGCTAATCCGAATAGCCGCATCCGTCGACAAATCCTGAGCTGCAGCCAAGAGTCCCAGTCGCGGATGCACATCGATATCAAGGTCCAACTCATCTCTGTTTGCATGCACAAATGTGAGCATAGGCTGAGACCAGTTCTTAAATGCCTTGTGGTTGAGTTTCCGTCTCTTAGCGGTATCGCGATTATTTGGGTACAGTGACCTGAAATACTGCTCGTTGTAGTGATGGTTCTCATAATTGAATGTTTTCCTGGACGCATTTCGTGATAGGCGCGGCGAGCGGATGTCGTAGAGAAAAAGGGTATCGTCAAGTCCGGAGCAAATCAACCGTGTTTCGTCGTCGGCACGCTTGAGCTTGGAAATGGGGCCGGGATGTGTGAGAACCTGACTTGAGCCTCCTGATCGAGTGTCGTAGAGACGGATACTACCATTTCGACATCCTAGCACGACAGTGGTGTATGAAATCCATTCCAGTGCTATAACCTCGGAAGGAAGGTCTTTGACAGGAACTGTCGTGTCCCATGCTCCTGTTTGTGAGCGTGTTGATAACAACATTGAGTGGGAAGCTGCCGTTGCAAGATGTTCGACATGACTAGCTGCTACGCTGTTGACAAGGCCAGGTAAAGGCGAGAAGGTCGTTGGTCTCGCTGCCACATCCCAAATTGTCGCACAATTCTTTGGTGTAATCTTTTGTCCTACATACTGGAGACACAAAACTTAGCATCTCTTTGTTGAGGGTGACTAGAATATCGGCACAGGATGCTAACTGTTTTGTAGATAGAGTTTACACGCTACCATCCTGATACTGAACTTGGTCAAACTTACAGGTTCATCGCGATCTGGATCGCTGAGCCACAGCTCCGGAGGTCTATCGGAGCCAAGAGTAGTCACTGCAAGCGCACCCGTTGCCGGAAGATAGCGCAAAGATGACACAATCGATGTCGTGCGAGCTATTTCATCCCATGGGTAAAATGCGTATGGGTTATCGAGTGCAAGATCATGTTCTTCATTAGACTCTTCAAGCTCTCGGATCTTGTTAGACTGGATCTTCTGCTGCTTGATGCTGTTCGATCCATGCACAGCGTAGATTGTGCGAGACACTGGGTCCCTATCGAATAGTCGTATGAAAGGTTGACTTGGTGTGGTAGTGATGACTTGCTGGGGCTGACTTTCGATACCAAAAGCGCAAGCATCTGGCCAGAGATGCTGGATGTAGGCTAAACTCCTCTTGATGCCAATTTCTCTCTCAACATGGGTGAGGACAAAGCTGTTTGGGTTACGTCTAACGACTCGCTCCTTGCGCACCTTGTTGGAACGAGCGATTGTGATGTTCTGTATACGCTCTTTCCGCTCAAGCTTTTTTATATTGTCGACAGAGTACTTGAAGTCACCTCCTTGTGATGCAGTCCGAGACTGGATTTTGAAGTATTTCTTCTTCTCTTCATCGAAATAATAACCAGGTATTGGCTGTCCGTTCATGCTGGAGGAGGGGGATGTGCGTATCCGACGTCAAATTCAATGCAAAGTGAGAAATGGCCAGAGATGGAACAGGGAGGTCTTTACAGTACTAGACGTGAAGCTAGAAATGCGCAGGAACGCGCGAACGTTGTCGTTGATTGGCTGGAAACGCGGCAGCAGTGATGGTGTCTGCAAAACAAGCGCACGAGTCAGGAACGGCGACATTTTTCAGCATGTCCTTATCGATAGGCAGTTCCGAGGCATGACGCCACTACCCTATCGCATTCACATCGTTCCGAATGATCTGCGGCACCGTGTCATTGTATTTGCCGCCACTTCCCCTCTTTCTTCCCACTTCCTACATAACTTGATACGCTCTGGGCATTTTATGCTTCGCCTCTCACCTGGGTCACAGCTTACGAGGAAAGCACTATCGACAACAAAAGACACTTGCAGGAACCCATCCCAAATATCAATGCGCCTAAACCAAGTCATGGCGCATCTGGACAGCCCGCAGACTACCAACACCTCTGCTAGTGAATTGCAGACTCTTCAATCCCTTCCCAAGTCGAATGTCTTTACGTCGAACCTACCCGTCGATCCGGCGTTCCCCACACCAAAAGACTCACACAATGCGCCACTGGAGGCACTGGGACCGCGTATGGTCAAAGGAGCGCTGTATACATATGTACGACCTGATCCGCAGGGAGAGCCCGAATTGCTCGCTGTTAGTCAGCGAGCGCTACAAGACCTTGGCTTGAAAGAAGAGGAGGCCAAGACCGAGGAGTTCAAGGAACTTGTTGCGGGGAAGAAGATCCTGACATGGGATGAATCCAAACCAGAGCAAGGCATCTACCCCTGGGCTCAATGTTATGGAGGTTATCAGTTCGGGCAATGGGCTGGCCAACTTGGCGACGGGCGCGCCATATCGCTGTTCGAATCGACAAACCCTGCGACAGGCACCCGGTATGAGGTACAGCTCAAAGGCGCGGGCAGGACCCCCTACTCTCGTTTTGCCGATGGTCGCGCAGTTCTTCGCTCCTCAATCCGAGAATTTGTGGTATCAGAATATCTAAACGCAATCGGTATTCCCAGTACCAGAGCCCTGGCCCTGACGCTCAACAAAGGCAGCAAAATCATGCGCGAGCGGATGGAACCTGGAGCCATTGTAACACGCTTTGCCCAAAGCTGGATCCGTTTTGGAACCTTTGACCTGCAACGTATCCGCGGAGACCGCAAAACCCTACGTACGGTCGTAGACTACACAGCCGAGCACGTCTACGGCGGATGGGACAAGCTTCCATCCAAACTCCCAGATGGCGACGCTAAGGAAGTTCACGACCAAACCCACGAAGGCGTCGCCAAAGAAACCGTCGAAGGTGAGGCTGAGAACGAAGAAAACCGCTACGTTCGTCTTTACCGCGCCATCCTCCGTCGCAACGCCTCAACCGTCGCAAAATGGCAAGCCTACGGCTTCATGAACGGCGTCCTAAACACTGACAACACATCAATCCTCGGTCTGTCTATCGATTTCGGCCCCTTTGCTTTCCTAGACACCTTCGACCCGACCTACACACCCAATCACGACGACCACATGCTGCGCTACAGCTACCGCAACCAACCTACAATCATATGGTGGAATCTGGTCCGTCTCGGCGAAGCTCTCGGCGAGCTCATGGGCGCAGGCAGTATCGTAGACAGCGACACATTCGTCGAACAAGGCGTCACTGAAGCTCAAGCTGGTGAGGTAGTTGCCCGCGGCGAATCCGCCATCGACCGCGCAGGCGAAGAATACAAGGCCGTCTTCCTAGCAGAGTACAAACGCCTAATGACCCTGCGTCTCGGCTTGAAAACCTACAAAGAATCGGATTTCGAAGACTTGTTCTCCGAGTTGTTGGATTGTCTGGAAAAGTACGAACTAGACTTCCACCATGCGTTTAGGAGGCTAGGTAGTGTGACGCTTGCGGATGTGGACACTGAGGAAAAGAGAAAGGACGCTGCAGGCAAGTTCTTCAGAGCAGATAACGTACCGAGACAGGAGAGCGAGGAGAGGGCTAGGATTGCAAGGTGGTTGGGTACATGGGCAGAAAGGGTAAGGGAGGATTGGGGGGAAGGCAAGCATGAGGAGAGAAGGGCGGCTATGGATGCGGTCAATCCAAAGGTGTGTTGTTCCTAATATGAAGGACTTTGTTTAGAGGATCCTATACTAACATACCAGCAGTTTGTCCCTCGCTCCTGGGTCCTAGACGAACTCATCGACCGCGTTGAGAAGAAGAACGAGAGAGACATCCTACCGCGGATTATGAAGTTGAGTTTGAATCCTTTCCAGGAACATTGGGATTGGGATGGGGACGAAGAGGAGCGGTTCTGCGGCGACGTACCAAAGTACAAGGGTATGATGCAGTGTAGTTGCAGTTCCTAGATGGACTTCTTTCGTACTTGGAATAAGTTGGCCGTGTAGGGACGTCTAATCCACACCACCGACTAAATACTCCCCAACTTCAACTCCTACATTCCTGCCCAGCGCCCGTGCATATTCCCAACCAAAATTCACTCTCCATCGTCCACCGCCCTCTAGCGCGTCATTACTACCAGCACCGCCCGCTCGAACAAGCAATCGCATACTCGTCAGCGTGGCAATCTGTGTGTATAGATCTGCTACCTGGGGCACCGTTCCTTCTAACAACGCTCTGAATATCGCTAGTAATCTGTCCAAAGTGAACGGACTGGGTGTGAGGAGATGCCGACTAATCTTCCTATGCTTAGTTCCAGAACGCTTCCCCGTTACACTGAAGGAGGCGGCAGAAGGAGCGCGACGCTTGTTCTTGCGCTTATCTGTATGCTTCATAAAGTATGTAACGTCTGTGCGAGAAGGGTTGTACGATGCGAGATATGCAGCTATGAGGATGTGTGTTGTAAAGTACGGGAGTGTGTGCGCGGTCACGTTTGCGGGCTTCTTTTTACTCGGGGTTGTGGGTATGGATGTGGGGTCATTTATCGTTGGCTCGGTGGAGGTGGTGGATATGATGCGGTCTAATACCGAGTCTTCGAGTTGGAAAAGATGGCGTCGGTTGACCATGAGGCGTGAGAAGTCTCGCGTGCCGAATTGACCAGACACTACGGGTTCGACAAAAGGTCGCCAGAGTCGCATGGCACAGCTCTTGAAGCTGATGAGGTCCCGCCCTGTGTGCTTTGAAAGAGAGTCGTACACGGCCTGGAGGAAGCGGCCCCAGAGCCATGCGTCGTCTTCGGCGGCGAGATCGGGTGTGTAATCGGGGAACTGTTCTAGAGACGGGGCTTGAAGGAAGATCTCGGGTGGACTTGAACCTAAGATGGCGAGTAGTTCGTTGCGCGTATATGATGGGAAATGAAGAAAGGAGGCGGATGAGGAGTGGAGGATGGAAGGCGTAAGTGCGAGGGTTGTAGTGAGTATGAGCGAGAGATTCGGTATCTAAACACCTTGTTAATAGTGGATATCTGATGGTATATATGTGCAGACGCACCATTTCCCCTAATCTCGCCAGCGCAGAGATCAAGGTCCCTCCCCCTTCTCGCAGTTTGTCCATCCCATCCAGGATAAGCACAAACTTGGCCCTCCCTTCCAATAACCTGCTCATGTTGACACATAGCGCGCTTAGATTCTCTGTGCGCGCGTATGGTCTCCTATCAATTGTCTCATCGTTGAACTCATCAAGCGCATCGAGACTAGCTGCGACCATGCGCTCGAGAAGATGGCGCGCTGTTATGCATTCGCGTACGTTGATGATTGCATGGGGTATTTGCGAGAGATGAAAGTAGGAGCGTAGAATAGACGATTTCCCCGTTGCCGTCAGACCATGGATGTTGAGGAAGGATGTTGACGGGAGATGTGCCTGATTGATTGTTAGCATGGTGTTGGACAGGGATGACGCATTCACGAACGCTGTAAAGAGCTGCAAGGTGCTGAATGAGCTGTTCACGACACTGAAACTCGGCATTGAGTTGCGCGATGATTTCTTCGGGTAACATTGTTGCGGCGGTTATCGTCGAGGTTTGGTCCCTGCCATGTTGAGTTGATGGTCAAGGTTGTCACGCTAAGCTAGCGCCGAAACGCGCCTGCACGTGCTTTATGCCGTTCTACACCCCTCTTCCCCTTCACACACCACATCGCTGCAAATACATCACCTGCGTCAAATTTATCCGAATCCATTATAATAGCGCAATCATGGGATTTGCTGTACTCTATCTGCTCCCCGTTACCTGGCGCAAGAACCCAGCCCACATCTGCCTGCAGTGCAGAAATTATGGCGCGTATAGCCGGTTGTCACTGGTAGGCTGTGTTAACTACATGCAACTGTGCCGTAGCACTGCAGACGATCATACTATAAGTACATGGGGTGAATGGCCACAAATCACTTGTCGCCCCCACCGGGCAGTGCAATCTTCATGTCGGGTCCCACATGAAGGAGGCCTGCCACTGGATTCTTATAATCCAACTGTGTATCTGCTTACTTCATAGAATAACAATCAAGACAACAAAAGATCAAGACACATTTTCTCCTATCTATATGGCAGGTCTGGGTGAGGCTGCAAGCGTGATTGCCGTACTTCAGTTATCCGGCAAGGTTTTCAACTATATTGGTACAGCCAAAGACTCTTCCGAGGACCGAAAGCGACTTCGTGAGGAAGTGCGTGCGTGCAGAGACATACTGCGAATGCTGAATGAAGATTATGAGGATGCAAAGGATACCGAGGATAGCGATATCTGGGCTGCTACTATCCACACGCTCCAAAGTTCCAATGGGCCTCTGTCGCGTCTTCAGTCTGCTTTGATACAAGTGGAGAGACGGCTTAGTAGCAAGAACACATTCAAAACTACACTGAAATGGCCGTTCCAGGAGAAAGAAGTACGTAAGATCATCGAAGCTATCGAACATGAGAAGAGTCTGCTTGTATTAGCACAGCAAAGAGATGGTCGTAAACATCTTCTCAAAATCCAAGCTTTCGTACAGAAAAACAACGCGCAGCTTACGGAAATCTTACTCTCCGTGGATACGAATTCCAAGAACGTCGAAACGAATTTCCACGGATTAGCAGACCAAGTTTTTGAGGTACAAACTCTGCAGCAAGAGTTGTATAGTGGAATCAAAAGTCTACAGGGCAACGGAAACGGACACAAAGACACTAAGCTACGCAAATCTGCGCTCAAATGGATCAGCTCAGAGGACTACGCATATAAACACACTGATATCCTCAGCAAACGAGAAGAAGGAACAGGTAAATGGTTCCTGGAATCTGGCGAATACAAGGCTTGGTTGGATCATTCTGATCCCCAAAGACTCCTTTGCACTGGCGTCCCTGGAGCTGGAAAGACGACGCTTACTTCCATCATCATCGATGACTTGCAAATGCGGTATCAGAACGACCAGTCTGTTGTTGTAGCATACATCTATTGCGACTACAGAACCCGCGATGAACACAATGTTCGACGTATGCTGTCATGTTTGTTGAAACAGCTAGCGGAAAGACCAGACAGTTTGCCGGGAACAATTGCGAAGCTGTACAGGGACAATGATGATGGATTGAAACAACTGTCTTTGGTAGATATTACTCGGTCTCTGCAGTCACTTGCGGCATCATTCTCGAGGGTCTTTATTCTTATCGATGCTCTGGACGAGTGTAACACAGCTGATCGTTGCCGAACGGTGTTCTTGTGGGAGATATTCAAGCTTCAACGGATATCGAACACGAGTCTACTAGCTACCTCAAGGAACATCCCTGAAGTTGTTGACATGTTTGACAGGTGTCAACCTGTCGAAATCCGCGCTAGTACTCATGATGTACGGACCTACATTGAAGGAAATCTTGATACTTTACCAAGGTTCGTTCAGAGCAACGTGGATTTACAAGAGCAGATTAAAGATGGAATTGCCAAAGCTGTGGATGGCATGTGAGTGCTATTCTTCACTTCTCGAATCAACCTGGCTTGCAAGCCATTCAAACGCATGCAGATCTCCGAGTTTGGGGCTTACCGACATGTACCTGGTTTAGCCGCTGTTGTAAATCTCGCTTACAGATATCAGGTTCCTTCTAGCCAAACTCTATCTTGCCTCTTTATCGAAGAAGCGTTCAGTCAACGCAGTACGGAAAACGTTAAAAGAGGTGTCATTGGAAACAAAAAGAGAAAGGACGGGAAGTGAGTCTGAAGCATACGACTACGCCTACCACGTAACCATGCAGCGGATTGAAGAACAGGGGTCAGACCAAGCAGAGCTTGCGAAAGAGGTTCTGGCTTGGCTCACCTGTTCAAAACAGCCAATGACCACAGAAATGTTACAAAAGGCATTGGGCGTAAGAGATGTAGAATACGAATTAAGCGAGGATGACTATCCTGACATTGGAAGCATGGTGTCAGCCTGTGCTGGACTCGTGGAACTTGTCGATCGACAAGATGGAAGTCCGATCATACGCCTCGTTCACTATACCACGCAGGAATACTTTGAGAGAACCGCTAGTAAATGGTTTCCGGAAGCAGAAGCTATGATAGCTATATCATGTATAGCCTATCTTAGCCTCGACGAATTTGGCACCGAAGCGCTGCCTGAATTCCAGCCTTTTCCTGATGATGAATGGGGTGCCGATCCATTCTATTCATACGCTGCCAGCTACTGGGGGGTACACGCACACCATCTATCACCCAATCATCCACGAGTGGTGGAGTTTCTCAGTCGACCGCATCACGTTGGAAGAAATGGACTCTGGCAGTGGGATCTACGAGGAGGTGATACTGCTCACCACCCACTTGCAACCACCGCACTTCACCTGACAGCATATTTTGGGCTTGAGGAAATGACCGCCAAGATACTTGGGAATGTCCCTTATTACAATGAGAGGGAAGATAAATACCCAACAGAGCCAACGCCTCTGATGCTTGCTGTCATGAAAGGCCATGAAGGCGTGGTCAGATCACTCCTTGAGCGCGGCGCCAAAATCACAAGATCGTCAAAGGGCACAGCTCTATACCGGGCTGTAGAAAGTAACAATGAAGCCATGGTCCGGCTCCTAGTCCCTTACTGCTCTGGCAATCTCCTCGAGGCCCCAGATCACAATCATCCCACCGTTCTCCACGTCGCCGCACGCCGAAGCTTCCACAACATTGTTGTACTATTGCTCGAACATGGCTTGCACGTTGACGAGCGCCCAATCAAGGACTACATTAAAGACGGGTCGCCGACGCCCCTCTATTCCGCAGCCATAGGAGGCGACCTATCCATGATCAAACTGCTTATCGAGCGTGGCGCCGACCCAAATGCCAAATTCATCAATTACAGACATCTGTGCGAGGATGATGGTATCAGGAGAGTGGACACCCCACTAAACGCTGCAGTGCGCGAGCAGCGTATAGACGTTGTCATGTTCCTGCTCGACAGCGGTGCTAGGATCGACAATAAACTGCCCTACGTTGACCCCGCAATGGTATCCGTGTGTGAGAATCGGAATTACGAGATGCTCAAGCTACTGGTTGAAGTGGGCGGCTTTGATGTCAATCGATCTACTCTAAGGAGCAGACCTTTGATCGTCAACGCGGCGCGCTGCCGTTGGGAAGAGGGCCTCAGCTACCTGTTCAGCGTGGGGGCGAACGTATATTGTCACTACGAGTTGACATTTAGTGATGTTGCAAGCGCTTGGTTTAGGTATGACGATGAGCGGAAAGATGCAAAGGCCAAGTTTGCACGGTGGGTGTTGGAGAATAATGTACCGGTTGTGTCTGTGGTGGGCCAGCCTAGTGAACCGCAACGTGTGGATTTAAATTGGTGGGAATAATGGAGGTGAACGGGATGCACAACTGGACGAGTTTCTCTTATCGCAAACCGTTCAAAAAAAACCTTTTTTCTTTACAATATCTTAGACTGTATGTCGAAAATTGAAGAGCCTTCAATTAGATAATTTTGACAAGAGCTGTAAGGCCTTTTCGACACCTTCCTCCCGCCCCTACCAATATATCTACCTATACCTCATCGCACACCCCCGACTCTGCACTAACGCATCAGCTCCTTGACATCTTAATGCCTGCAGATCTTGTCAACTGTCGACACGCTGCATCTTGGATTTCTCGGTCTGTAAACAGATGTAGTGACCCGTGTACCCTGGGTCATTACGCCTACAGTAAAACGAAAACATGCAATGTATGGACTGAAGCACAATTGTGCCTTGGATCAAACTCTATATCTATGTTGGTATAACGCCATGCCATGCCATCCATACTCGTACAATTCGTCCCAATAAAGGGGAGGGATCAAGCTTTGACCCGGGGGTAATCCAATACGCCTTGTTCAATGCTATGTATCCAATGCCTTTTGCCATATCCGAACCCACCAAACCAGCATCCATAACTCCTTTTTTAAGCATGTAGAGTATCATTAAAGCCGCTTTCTGAATCCTCGGACTGGCCGCCCTCCTTGAATTCCCAGGCTAGGAACTTCCAGTTGAGTTCACTGGGTCGCCAGAAGAGACCGTTCTTTAGGCCGCTGCCAGAAGGCGAAGAGTCGCCTAGTCCGTCGGCTGTCATTCCTCCGGTGTGGGGCATCCGCTTACCGAAGATGCAGCGCCTAAACCTAGAGTGTAGGATGGCCATGGAACACATGACGCACGGCTCATTGGTGAGGTAGATGTCGAGGTCGACGCATAGGTAGCCGCTTGGGGAGATATTTTCTTTTTCAAAGTATGTCTTCTCGAGGTCGGTGAGGGGGTTGTCGCAGAAGAGTGGTCGATCTGGGTACGCTGGGGCTGTGCCAGCTGCGCGGGTTCGCTTCTTTGCAACCATGGAGATGGCTCGATGTACGGCATGGCCCATGACGTTTCCGGTTCCAGTCTTGGGTTCGGGTGTTCCGGTGAATGACCTCCAACGGCAGTCGCCTGCAACGGCAATGACTTCAGGCTCGCTCTTGGACCGGTCGACGATGACGACACCAATCTTTTCACCAAGACCCAGGTCTGATATTTGCTCAGCGACGCCCTTGGCCAGTGCCATGCGAAGTCCAGCCTCGGGTTGTATCTCGTCCTGGTTGCGTTGTACGAGGCTTGGATGCGGACCGTATGGGTTGGTGTTCTTGTAGGAGATGGGCCAGTACTGATCGCTCCACTCTGCAGCCTGCCCGGCAGAGATGGGGGCTAGGGAGGGGACCGTCACGTAGAGGATGCGTGGTTGTGTAGCCCTGCCTTCGAATGGCGGACATGTGCGTATGAGGGCCGCGAGATCGGCATGGCTCATGTAACGCGTTGGACAAAGTAGGAAATAACGAACTAGATCAAAATCTTTAGTAACAACTTCGCAATCAGCAGTCTGGCTGCCATCATCGACCGAAGACGCAGACGCAGGACAAAATTCAGAAGGCAGCAAAGAAGCAGAGGAAGATAATAATATTTTTGCAGATGCAGGATCATCTTCTTCACCTCTGGGGAGCCTCGCGGGCGGATGGAACTGCCGTTGCAGATGTGGCGGTAGGTACTTGAATTGGACTACGCGGCGTAGGTGCGAGATCTCAGACGTCTTGAATTCGGGCAATGCTGCTTGCACGGCACTAGACGCTTAGTCAGACCAATATGGAGTCGGAAGTCAGTGTGGACGGCTCACTCTTTGACCACATTGGCGTGCTTGGCTGGCACCTCGATGACATAGACAGTCTGCGTCTCTAGGCTGGCGCGCACCTCGTCTTTTGTCCTGAGCGGGACAAGACGCCCGTTGAGTGCCGATGGGGTGCTCATAGCATCGCCTGGTGGGGAGATATTAGCACTAATGCGACGAGGAAAGTTAATACGCGTCGGATAAGCTGTTGGTGCGAGGTAATCGAGCGGCGGGTTGTTGGTTTGGTTTGGTTTGGTCGGGTTGAGCACGAGAGGACTGAAGACAAATAAATCTGCCAGGGTCCAGCGGGGCCATCCTGCTCTTCCCCGACCTCCCCTTCCGCTTTCACCCCGCCACCCAGTCCTCACTCATCAAAACCAGCCATGTGATAGCAAGAGCGCAAAGTGATGACCAATTCATTGATAATGTTGATGGGAAAGAGAAGGAGCCTACTGAGGGTGAAGGCGAGCGAGGCTGAGTCGCGGGCACCTCCCATGACGGCGAGGGAACGCCAATCCTCACTCAATATGGGGCCCCGCATACGCCCATCCCACTTGTTCGGTACATATCATCCAAACGAGCTGTGAGAGGCCTCGCATCCCAGGCATCTCCATCTGCCGAGATGCATGACTTGTAGGCAGGACGACGCTGTCCATGTAACTTGGAACGCCTACGCCAAGCACGTGCAATATGTACCCCACTGTGATATATGAGCAATCATGTATTTCCTAGAGATGCTCCATCCCATTCTTTCTCATTTTCCATGCAATCAGTGTAATCAGTCATGGATAGCAAATCGGAAGCGACCCATGTTGAGACCGCTCATGGTCATGTGACTCACGTTGTACCCATCGAGCAAGAAGCCAACGAAGACGTCAAGCACGTCAAGCTTTCCTGGCGATCATGGATGGTCGTCTTCTGTTGTTGCTTTGCGTACGTATCTCAAGACTTGCTTCGGTAACCACTCACATCATGTAGTGTCATGTCTCAGGTCTTTGTCGTAGTAGCTGCGGGCTCCGTCTTGTCCTTCATCATACGTGAGCTGGGACAGCCAGCGATTGCGAGCTGGGTCATTCAGGTATCGTCTTTGTACTGTAATATCGACACGCTTCCTGACCATCTCTAGGGCCCACTTCTCATGCAATCAGTCCTGTCGCCCCCAGTCGGCCGCCTCTCCGATGTCTTGGACCGCAAGCTATTCGCAACTATTCCTCCGCTGATTGCATGCATTGGCGCTATCATCTGCGCGAAAGCTACGAGCATGTCCATGTTGATCGGCGGTGGTATTCTCATCGGCACGACACTTGCGACCATCTCCATTGTCCAATCCATCCCTTCTGAGATTCTACCATTGAAGTACCGAGCCTTGGCAAACGGACTTGCAGGCGTTGCCGGTGTCATGGGCGGGCTGTGAGTACCTGATAAAGTGACTGTCTCGGTTAATACAGTGCATGCTGACGACTCTGTAGGGTCGGTAGTCTAGCAGCTGGTGCAGTCACTGACCTCAGTGCCTCGGGATGGCGATACATCTTCTGGATCCAAGTCGGACTACATGGCATCACATCGCTCGGCTTATTCGCATTCTACTGGCCCAAGAAACGTACCGACTATTCCCGTATGAGTTTCAACGAGTGGGTGTGGGCCTGCGACCCCATCGGCTCCTTCCTTCTCGTCGCAGCTGCCACACTGATGCTCCTCGCACTCAATTGGGCAGGTGGGGTATATCCTTGGAGCAGTCCCCATGTATGCGCAAATCTCGTCGTCGGTATTGCTCTATTCATCGCCTTTTGTGTTTACGGTATGTTGTATCACCCCATCAAAGAAATTTGCTGAAGCCGTGTAGAATGGAAAGGGAGGTCAGACGGCATTGTCGCGCATGTCTTCTTTTCTACTGGGCCCAACTTCTGGCTTTCCACGTTTGCTTTCGCGATTGAAGGGTAAGTCTGATAGTCACTATCATTGGTTGCTGATCTCTGACGTTGCAATAGATGGATTTACTACTCCGCAATCAATTCCGTCACCCCTCAACTCATCCTCAACGTCGGCTTCGAAGCCAGGGCTTGGAACATTGCTATTCGGCAATTATCTTTCAAGATCGCGTCCATCTTCACTTCGTTGGCAGTCACGTGGTGGGCAACCAGGTATAAAGATCTGAGTAAGCCGCCCTCTGTCCAAGCAGTTACATCGCTGACAGATGACCTAGAATCGCCGCTCGCCGTCACCTTCGGCGTTATGTTCATAGCGTCCATCTGCTTTGCCTTTATCCGGCCTGGCTGGGACACTAACCAAATCGTCTTCACAGCGCTGACTGGTATTGGCTGTGCAGGTCCACTTACACTCCTAGTAGCATGCGTCCAATTCACAGCGCCTCACGCGTTTCTTTCTACCGCGACCGGTCTTGCGTTTTCGGCTCGCGCTATCGGTGGTGCTTTCGGTACAGCAGTCATCTACGCCATAGTGAATTCTCGTGTCGCATCCCACCTTTCGGGTGATATCAGCTCTGCAGCCATTACAGCCGGCTTACCTGCATCCTCCGTTCCTGCACTATTAGCTGGGATGAAGGGTAAATCGGCGTCAACATTCAGAGGCACCGGAATCCCCGGAATGAATGAACCCATCATCAACGCCGCATGGGACGCAAGTCACTGGTCCTATGCCCGTGCGTACAGACTGGGGTTCTGGAGCGTAGTTCCATTCGTAGCACTCGCGACAATCGCTGTACTTTGTATGCGAGGAGTCAAGAATCTCATGACAGAAAGAGTAGAAGCGACAGTTGAGAGGGACAGCGATGATGAAAAAGAGAAGATTGAAGGTTTAGGCAAGGCCTAGGGGTATATATTGTAACATATACACGACAGTATCTCTATTGAGATAAGACCACATGATCAGCAACCGTTTGCCGCCCCGTCTTTCTCTCACATATCCGTGCAGTCATATTCTCAATCTTATCAGCGAACCATTTTCCTCTACTCTTGCTCCTCTCCTCGAAGACTTTGCGTTGCCCGAATCCTTGCATTCCCCGCATCGCGAATAATCTATCCCATTGGTTTGCCCAGTCTTGACCTCGTGATGGCGCAGGCTTACGCTTGATTAACGGAGGGAAGTGGAGGCTTGGGGGGGCTTCGATGTGGTAAGGTCGGGGTAGTGTTGGTGATATGGGTCGCGGGGCTGATTTTCTAGGTAGGATAGGTTGAAGATTTTGCGCGAAGGGATTGGGGTGTAACGTGACAGTCACAGACGGAGACCGGGGTGGTGATGCCGGCGGTGTTGGGTAACGGGTTAGTTTTGGAAGTGGAGTAAGAGAGAAGTTACGTTCGAGGAGTGTAGTAGGTTTGTGCTCTACGTGTTGTGGATCAAAATAATGGATATCGTCCAGCTCTGGTTGTGGTAACGAAGGTAGTGGCTTAGTAAGATACAGATCAACCGTTTGGTACGACGATGTTGTCTTGGTTGATACAGTCCGGGTGTGTGTGGATACTGCTTGACGCATAGGTTGCGGGCCCTTTGGTCGAGGCATATCTTGTCGAGTACCTTTGCGGTCGACAGTCATGCTCGAGCCCTGTGTCTTTAGATGAATCAACACACCCTCTACCTTCATACTCTTCTTTCCCAAATAATGCGCCGCCATAGCATTCATCTCCTCATCATCTTCGATACACCACTTCTTCCCATCCCCCATCTCAACATCCCGCTCTTCTTCCTCCAAGTCCTTGTAACAAACACCCCCTTCATGAACATGATACTTACACCCCATACATCTACCCAACCCTGATCCCTCTGTTTTAACCCCCACGCCTTCTCCTCCGCCTCCCCTGAGCGCCCCCAACATCCTTTTCTCCCACCCAAACATGACATCCCCCACAAACCCCCTCAACACATCACTCACGCCCTCCTCCAAATATAGCATCTCCAACACCCTCACATCAGGCGCCTGCACAGTATCGAGCACTTCCGTCAAGTGATCGATAACCGCGTCTTGGAAATGTGGGGCGCGGATCACGGTGCCGAGCATGTGCGCGTAGAGAAGGTCAACGCAGGCATAGAGGCTGAGAGAGTGATGGGAGGGCAGGCTGAGCGTGATGCGGGAGGTGGCGAGATAGGAGATGTAGATTGTGAAAGCTGCCGGATCAATGGAGGGCAGGGTTATGGGTGGAAGGTGACGTAGCGTACATGATGATGACGATAGGGCTTGTGAAGGGAGGAAGTTGCGGAGATAGGGTGAGCGATAGGCGATTTCATAGTCTACGGATATTTTCTCGCTGGGTGAGTGCTCCGAAAGGGTTGTCCGGCCTATGAGGAGGAATGTTATGATGTTTGGGTTAGATGTGGTATATGTGGCCGTGGGCGGGGATAGGTTGTAGGGCTCGGTTTCGTACAGGAATGGCATGTTGTGCTGAGGCTGGTGCGTGGGTTTCATGATCTGCTTAGCGAAATGGTGGTGAGTGAGATGTCGGTGAGCCTTTGCTTGAGGGGCGAGCGGGGTAGTATGGAAGGGCGTGTGTGATGAGCTGAACAGCGAGGTAAATGATTGATTGGAGCGGGTGGTTGGTTACTGTGAAGGTTTGAGTGTATTTTACGTGATATTGCAAGGTTCTCTCGTACTAGCTAGTGGTTCCCGCGACCTATAATTTCCATACAGTTGTTTGGAGACCTTGCTCAGATGCATTCGAGTCTTTGACGATGCTCGATGCTCACAGTAGATAAAGCTTTTCTTGCGAATTTTTGAACATATCCCCTATACGCACTCAACTAGCACGACCGAGTGTCACCACATGCGATCATTCGTATGCTTAGAAGATAGCTGTTCCGTTGACATGGGAGCTCACACCGCCTATTGTCGAGTTAGCCAACGGCTGTAGTTCAACACACTAGAAATAACATACCAGGGCAATTAGCTGGTGCAGACGTGAAGAAGAAGAACCACCTGTTCTTCTCGCGACAGGTTTTCGCAAGTTTTTCAAGGTCTAACATCTCACCTAAGGGCATACCCCAAAGCGCTAAGATGTATTCGTGGAGATGATAATCTAACAATGTCAGTCCAGAGTCCCTCTGTCTCCAATACGATTACCTACTTTCGTGCGTAGGCCAAGCTTCAAAGGCTGGCGCATCACCTGCAACTGACGCGAAATAACAATCATGAAGCCAGTCAAGTATCTTTTCCTCCTGGCTTACTCCCGCGTATCGCTGCCCATCCTCGCCTTCTTTACCACTGCCATGTCGTAATGCAGCTCTCGATCTATCTTCGTCGCTCTTGCTGTCGTAGGCTTCCTTCCATCCGCTGCGGATGAAGAGCATATCTCCGGGCTTGATGTCGCCGCCTTGAGCAGTAGGTCGAATATCCACTCCCTGATCCTTGCCGCATTGGAAGAGCTCCTCCCAGGAGATGGGGTAATAATCGTACGGATCATAATTGATTCCTTTCTTGTGCGCGTATCCCCTGTAATCGAGAAGGATGCCTCGACCCGCAACGCCGTGTTCAGCCCAATGATGGATCGAGCATTTGTGGTTTGCAGATGGGCCTACAATATCGCTACCCTTGGCCTGTGAGATGTTAGTCGACACTTCCTTCCCCCAGACGAGCTACCTACGCCGTTATAAAAAGAGCCGCTCGACATGTGCGCGAAATGACGGAAGCCGTCCCATTGGGTGCCACTTTGAGTATTCATGTGATACACATCATCGTAAGCAACGCCCTCGGCCAGCTCCTTGATTTCATGCTGGAACACCTCGCGACCAAATGCAGGTACGTTGGGCACGTTGAGGGGCAGGCTATAGTGAGTCAGACAGGATATCCCTGGGCATGTTCTTGATGTCCTACTTTACAGGAACGATCTCCCCTGTTTTGATTTCTTTCCCGGCCGCGGCCACGCGCGTCGGTGTAAGAAGGTTGAGGCGGCCAATCTACCATCAATTAGCACAATATATGGAAGATCGGCCCTTCACATACGTTGTCGTTCTCACCCCAAACCCAAGCCGCCTCAGCCGGTGCACCGGGTATCGTTGGGAGCTCTTTCCTAGTCGGAAATATGGTACAGGCTGGATCCCAAGGTATCGTCGTTGCTGTCTTGTTCATCGTCAAGATGTCCTTTAGCTGCGTCAAGCGCTGGCTTGCGGTATTCTTGAAGTCTGTCATTTCAACTTCAGAGATGGTATCTACTCTTTGCTGTCAATGGGCGTGTCTTGAATGACAACTGCCTTCTAGTTTGACGTCTGTGGATTTGCCAATGCCATGACGTTTTTCCCCGCATTTTCCTGGTGTTAGTGGGCCCCTTGTGGAGACACATGTGGAGTTGGCGTCGTTTCTTGCCACACCGAGGCAACCATCGTCAATCATCATCCGACCCCATCTCGTTAACGTCGCACGTGATGTTCAATAGCGAGCGCATGTTCCTTGAAACGTGTCGTAGTGAATTGAACGATTATCTGATTAGAATAGTGTTGTGGCTGGCCCGCGAGCTTACGGTTGGTGGAAGAATGGCTAAATGACGGATTTCGGTTAATTCCTCCAACTGTACCCCTCGTGGGGTACGAAGAGTCTACTGTATTTTTGGCGCTCTTGGCCAGAAGCTTGTTACTTGGCTAAGGAAATCTTAACCGCCAAGCGGAGTCTTGTTCTGAATCGACAAAGTACATCTATGGTTCTTGGGCTAGTGAGATCTCATCTAGATCGTGGCCTTGAGAAAGCCGGGGAAGGACCCACACGACTGGAGCGGTCGCCATACCTACTTTAACATCGTGTACTTCACAGACTCAACAGCATTTCACCCTTACAATACACCTCTATGACGGCCCGCGAAGGTCCGATCATCCATTTTCCCGAAGGGATGCGTATCTTACCGAAACGGTCCGCGCACCACGAATGCGAGTGCACCTGGCCTTTATCGATTTAGCCGGTTTGGTGTCGGTGCACCCTCACATCAAGTTCGATTGGCCACAGTAGCACCGTGTCAGCAATTGAAGCAGATAGGAGCAGCCCCAAGGAAGTATTTCCGTAGTGCGTCCAGTAGTTGGAGGGAAATCTCAGATCCGCGTCGCCATCGAGCCGGTGATATTTGTGCGTGCTTTGAGCGTATAAACACCTGTGGACCTTCCCCAGATTTCGACCCCAGACCCCATTCCATCCCCGGACTCCTTCTCTTGCCATCTCCTGACCATCTGACTCACCAGAATGGCTTTGGAAGACGAGAAGATCACCGCCCAAAATGTGGAGCATGTATCCGATACTTCCGCCATCGCCTTTGAGGAAGGGCAAGAGAAAGGCCTGAGCGATGCTCATATCTGTACCGAAGAGGACAACAAGCGCATCCTTCGCAAGACCGACATTTGGATGCTTTCCCTTCTCTGCATGGTATATTTCCTACAATCGGCCGACAAGGGAATTATCGGATTGACAGCCGTGTACGGACTGCGAACGGACGCCCACCTTGTGGGCAACGACTATGCGAATCTCGGCAACATCGGTTACTATGCGCAACTTGCCGTTCAGCCCCTGGCTGCATGGGCTCTTGTCAAGCTTCGATATCGTCATGTCCTTCCCGTCATCATCACTTGCTGGGGTATCTCGGTTGCGGGTGGCCTTGCTGGTTCAACCAACTATGCTGGGCTGATGGCGTCGCGCTTCTTCCTTGGTGCCTTTGAAGCCGCCGTCATTCCATTGTTTTCCATGATCACCATTGCCTTCTATAGGCGTTCCGAGCAGCCGTTCCGCGTTGCATGCTGGTACAGCTGCTACGGTCTCAGCACACTCCTCAGTTCGCCCATTGTTTACGGATTCGGTCGCGTCCACTCAAAATCGCTTCACCGGTATCAGGTCGTGTATCTGTTTTTCGGACTTTTGACAATCGCTATTGGTCTTTGCACGTACTGGTGGGCTCATGATAGCCCCGGAGAGGCTCGCTACCTATCACCAGAGGATCGTCTGAAGGCTGTCGACCGATTGAAGGCGAATCAACAGGGTATTGTCTCCCATACCTTTAGCTGGAAGCATGTTGGAGAAGCGTTCTCAGAACCAAAGTACTGGCTGTACATGACTATGGTCATCGCTGTCAATGCTGGCGCTTCCGTCTCTTCTGTCTTTGGTTCTATCATCCTTCAGAATTTGGCCGGATTCACTCCTGACGAAGCTGTCCTGCTCAACATGCCCTTCGGTGCTCTCCAATTTGTGTCTATCCTTGGTGCGTCTTATTTGGCTTACCGGTTCAAACGCAAGTCGCCATTCTTACTCGGTCTCGTTACTATCGTCATTATTGGTGTAGCCTTGATGGTCGCCCTTCCTAAGACCAAGGAAAATAAAGGTGGTCTTCTTGTTGGCTACTACCTAATTGCTTTCGTCTTCGCGATCAATCCTCTGCTCATCTCTTGGATGGGCTCCAATTGCGCTGGACAAACTAAGAAGGCCATCTACTACACCTCATTCAATGCTGGTAATTCCGTCGGCAACATCATCACCCCATACATCTTCGACAAGAAGTTTGCCCCACAATACGTAAGTAACCCACGTCGTCCTCCTTCTACCGCGTAAGCCGTTGTGCATGACTAACGATTATCAGGTGAATGCTCTCAAAGGTATCTTGTCGATCTGGTGCATCCTTTTTGCGGTGGTAATCGCTCAAGTCATCGTTATCACGATAATGCAGAAGAAGAAGTGCGATCAGCGTGAAGCAGCTGGTCTCCCAAGGAACCCTATCGATTACTCGATGAGCGGTGAATACCACGAGGCTGGCGAGGACGTTCACGCCGAGAATGGTCTGCAGGACATGACTGATAAGGAGAATATCTACTTCCAGTACCTGCTGTAGTTAGTAATGAGAGAAGACGTACTGATGCGCAACCTCAATAAACCTGTTTTTGCCGCTGCGGTGTGCTAGCATTGAGCGACTTTTGGGAAGTGAACACCTCCGCATGTAATCGGGAAGCCGTATTCTGCGAACGTCAATTGAATGATCCACGTGAAGATCGATAAGCTGTACCAGAATAGGACTGGAAAAAGCATGTCTCGTTGGTAGAGAAATTGCTGCTTATGTCAGCACCTCGTTATTAGTTAGTGGGGCGGCGGGACCTTCCGAACGCGGAACTTTGACGCATCGTGTCACCATCAACGCGATCACGATAACGTCGAAAAGGGCTAGATTTCGCGTCTCAATTTCCATCTGCCTATTCTATCCTAGCCCTTCCCGTATGTCTTTAGCTGTGACTGTTGCGTGGTTCGAATGACCAGACGGCTTCTTAGTTACTTCCTTGTCCCATTCATCGCGGTCCTATTGTTGCCCATTCTGTATTTCTGCCTACAGTCACCTAAAATTTCAATGTCAAAAGAAAATCGCCCGGAGGAGGTCGCTTCATCCCTCTTGGCTGCGAATGGATTACAATTGCAGTCTTCGGAAACCATTCAGTCTCTATGGGCCGGCTATGGCAAGATATCACGGCTTTTTGCGACCTCGCAAGGCTCTCCGGACACCGTAAAATCATACATACTCAAGTTAGTCACTCCTCCACCGACAAAGGCCAACGATGAGGGTCATACTAGGAAGATCCTCAGCTATCAAGTAGAGCAGTACTTCTACAGCCATTTAGCCCCCCAGATGCCTGCATCTTTGCCTGTTGCTCAATATCTAGGAGGCATCGACGACCATGGTTCCGATGGAATCTCTCGAATTGCGATGCTGCTAAGCGATCTCCGAGAAACATATTCTGTAGCCGGTGAGAAACGCCATGTTCTGACACAAACCCAAACATTGGCTGCGCTGGACTGGCTGTCTGGATTTCATGGCTTTTGGTGGTCGAGAGTCAAAGATATGGATCTAAAATCGCTTGTACTACCTCCACTGCAAGAAATTCAGCGCGATGGTCATGACGCTGCCAACAAGACGGTATGGTTAAATGGGGGCTACACGTATCTCGCAACACGACGCAAGGAGTACGAAAGCCTAGCAAAAGACTACGAAAATGAGTGGAACGAACCACTAACTGAGTGGGTGGATGGGGAGGATGTGTCAATATCAGAGATAGCAGCTGCGTTCTTGTCACCAAAGACGTCGGGCTGGACGCCAATCGGAGGATATCAGACACTGATTCATGGCGATGTCAAATCCGAAAACCTGTTCACAAGCACATCTGGCGAAGAAGTTGCGTTTTATGACTTCCAATACACGGGTATCGGCCTCGGAGTTTGCGATCTTGCGAAGTTCTTCACGTGTTCAGTCCCAATGAGTATGCTTGTTCACGACCAACACGTCCCTAGCGAACTGTCGATGCAAAACGGCGAGAAGCAACTACTGCAACGTTACTGGACCAGACTAAAGGAAGTCGGTGAACATGAGTATGATTGGTCTATCTTCGTCCGGCACTGGGAGACAGCACTCGTGGACTGGCTTCGTTTTCAGGCCAGCTGGGGATTCTGGGGAAACACCGAGTGGCTGGAGGCTAGAGTTCGAAGTATCTTGAAAGATCAGGAATGGAGGGAATCCTTGATCAGCAATGTGGACAAAGCCAACATTGAGAAGTCGGGTATATAAGGCTTTTGTCCCTCTCTGATCTTCCCATGTTTAGAGTTTGACCAATGTGAGCGGGAGCGGTAGGCCGTCCGACTACAATCATCAGGGACAATTAGCGACCAACTCAAACTTTGAAATTGTTTACTTATTCCGTCGATACTCAGCTCTATTATATACTCATCATTGGGATATCAATTCAAGCTCAGACCAAGCAGGATTGGCCTAGTGGTAAGGCGTCGCACTCGTAGTTTGCCTTGATATGCGAAGATCTCCAGTTCGATCCTGGAATTCTGCAAAGCCAGCTATTTTTGCTTTTCTTTTTTGGTTTTCCACGCAGAAACTTTACCTAGTAAGTAATTCATTAAATACGAACCATATCGTTATAGCTCTATGGGTATAATCTTCCTCCGTTAAGTTTGATTCAGGGTTGAATGAAGTTGGTCTTGCGATCGCGAAGTTAGGGCGACGATATAACGCTTTGAAGCCAGTTAGGTATTAAGATCTAGGAATCAGCGAGTTGTTAACTCACCATTTCTCAAGGGTAGCCTGGAAGAAGAATGAATCGCCTGGCCGGTTGCGATTAGTGTAAGCTGGAGGCTGCATATGGTGGCTTGCAGAGCCCCGCGACTGCGCTACACAGGCAATATAAAGACAAGCTGCGCATAGCCTGGCCGACAGTCTTGTAACATCTTGAAATTTGGCAGCACTTCAAGATAACAATTATATTTTTTCAAAAACGCACATCGCCATCATTCCACTTAGAAATAACGAAAAACAGAAAACGTTCATGGAGGTCATCTAAGTCAGGAGCTCAGAAATGTAGTACCGATCCCACTAACTGTAGTACAGTTGCCCCCGCGAGTCTTCCAAAACTATCGCACTTAGACGACTTCCCCGAATTCGCAATCGGAAGTCCAAACATACCCCGCGTGGTCACCGCGCAATCTTACTCCGACAGCTCGTCAACCTCGTCCTATGAGTTCATAGAGGGAAGAGCCATAGATTGGTCCGCACGCGGTACCTTTCATGTAGATTTTGCGACCTGGCCACTCTACTTAAAGACATCAACTCGCTACATGACCAAGTCTTGCAAATCGGCCGAGGAGAAGTGACGTCATCAGAAGACTCAGCATATCGAAAGGCCAAGCGGGAAGCAAGACTGAGGGCATTGGAGATCCCAGTCGGGGACAGGAAGGAAACTCGAGCCTTAGCTGTGACAGATCATTTCAGTCCAACCTGGTAGGCATCTTTCAATGGATCGACTCTAAGACACTCCACTCGGAAGAACTAGCGTCCAAGAAATTCGAACAACCGTCCATAGGCAATCGTTTGCGTAAACTGGCACATGGCCACCCTCCTTGGGCAACCCGATTTCACGAAGAAAGAACGGAAAATGTTCGATAATAAGCC